TTTACGGAGCAACAACTAAGGCAAATTTGGATAAAATACTTATAAAACAAGAAAAAGCTATTAGAGTGATCATGAAATTAAAAAGAACAGATTCAGTTAAAAATATCTTTCCTGAATTGGGTGTATTAACAGTTTACAGTTTGTATATTTATGAGACAATAATTTATGCAAAACAATTTCATTTATTATCCACTGCAAGTAAATATAACACACACTTTCAAATTAAACCTTCCTAGACATAATTTAGAATTCTATACCAAAAAACCTTCATATGCAGGCTTAAAATTTCTTCAAAAATTACCGATTTCACTTAAAAAAGAAAATAATACAAACCGATTCAAAAGCCTACTAAAAGACTTGTTGATAAGAAACCCATTTTATTCCATCAAAGAATTTTTAAATTGTAATCTCGAAACGACCATTTGAATTCCAGTTACTACCTAGTTTTACTCTAACGTAACCTTCTAAGATTTTGTGATCTTTTAAAGTTATAGCACTCATTTTTAGTTTTACTATATAAATCCTTTGTGAATGATTTTAATTATTTAGTTTATAATTTTTTGTTTATGTTAGTTTAATGACACTATTCAAGACATATTGTCTAAACTTTGTGAATAAAGAATATTTGATTGATTGATTGATTGTGACCGACCTCCCCGCACCGAAGGCAGTTCTTGCTTCGGTCGGGTCCCTTGCAGTTTCGGGAGGAATGGCAGGAACAGAGGCATTTAAAACACCTCTTTACTTCCACTCTCCGTCTGAGCCTGCAGTTGACCCAGCCGACTCTCAGATGCTGGAGTGCCAGCACCTTATTGGCATGTGCGTCTGCCATTTCGGCGACCGCCATCCGCTGCTTTCTCCTATTCGGTTTTGTGAGCCACACCTTAAGAAAAGCCGTTTGCCCACCAAGCTCGGGGATAGCTTTCTTCAGGGCTTCCACAACATCAACCTCCGTCGACACACAATCAATGTCTCGAACCTCGACTGATGTCTTTGGCTCAAGAGAACGGACGGTGCCCTGGCCTTCAACAGCTGCCTTCAGTTCGGCAGTAAAGGCTGCTTTGTCTTTCGACCTACCCAGTTCAAGGAGAACGTCCCCGTCCCGGGTTTGTCTAATCGGCCGTACAACCGTATCGGTCTGCTCTGGCTTAGCATTGGCCTTAATTGCACCCAAGACCTCGGCAAAAGATCTCCCCCCTGAGGGTTTGACAATGATTGCCTCCATCCTGGGCTTTTTTGGCCGCAACCTTTTAGGTGCAGACACCGAGCCGGGCCCAGTTTGGGCCACGCCAGTTGGCTGTGCCTTCACTGCCTCATTCTTCATGGAGGCGACCTCCGCCCGCCTCAATTGCCTCTTCTCCTTTTTGGAAAGGCGTTTTTCCCACACAGCCCCAGGTGTCTCCACCACTGACCCCTTTCGGGAACTTCCCTGAAGAGGGGTCGTGGGTTGCTGTGCCAGTTGGCGCCTCGCTCGAGCTGCAGCTACGTCCGAAAAGGGTCTGGGCACAGCAGACGAGAGGTCCGTCTGAGTCGCCTTGGCCTTTACCGTGGTCTTTTTGGTCTGGACGCCTTCTTCTCTTTTTGGAGGACTCTCCGATGTGGAAGGCCTCCGACGTTTCTTCGAAGGCGGCGCTCTTTCATCGGGCAGGGACACCACCTTTTCGGCAATCTTTTCCATGGTCGCCTTGCTTACCAGACGGCAGGCAAAGACGAAGCCAAGGTCATCCTCTAGTTTTGCCATTCCATTTTTTACCACCTGATTTACGGCTCTCTGGGTCCGGAATGTGTCCAGCATAGCCTTAATTGTCTTTTCCATGTCACGGAGCCGGGTTTCAATGTTACTATCTGCGTCAAGATATTCCTGACGTAGAAGCACAATCTCCTAGCTTTCCGACCGCGACGTCGCTGTGAAGGTTTCCTTCGGCATCCCTACAACAGTTCCCGGCAATGCCAGTTCGACATCTACATCGCCAACATTTTCTGTGCTGTTTCCGGCTCCACTCTCCGAAGGAGATCCTAACGGGGGGAACGTAGAGCACTTGAAAGGTGACATAAGACATAAGACATATTTTATTTACACAAAACGTTCTTTACAAAGGACATTTCATACATAAGAACAGGTGTTTCGTCATAGTGATGTATTTTATAGTAAAATTAATAGTTAAAATAATTAAAATAAACTCATGTAGGATATCAGAGAATTTTTATCTACACTATAGGGTTCTCCAAAAATTCGTCAAGTGAATAGTAGGCTTTCTCAATTATTTTATCTTTTATTTTATCTTTAAATTGAGTAGCATTTAAATTTTTAAGATACAGGGGTAATTCATTGTACAATCTAAGTCCCATATATTGAGGGCCGTTCCTAAAAGTCGTCAATTTGTGATGTGGTAATCTGAAATTATATTTATTCCTTGTATTATAATTATGTGTAAATTTGACTACATCTGACAAATTTTCCTTAGTGTTATGTATCCAATTTAGAATTTCATTTATGTATAATCCAAAAATGGTGTGAATTCTAAGATTTTTAAACAGGTTTTTACATGATTTTCTCCTTCTTGATTTGGTTAAGATTCTAATAACTTTTTTTCAGTAAAATTAGTAGGGATTTGACTTCTGTTGACACTCCCCACAGTATGATTCCATACCTCAAGATGGATTCAACGTATCCATAGTAAACTGTGATACATGTATCCTGGGGTACACAGTTTATCAGGTGAAAGAAAGCAAAAGAAATAGATCTTAGTTTGCCTTTCATCTTATCTATGTGAATCTTCCAATTAATATGAGTATCAAGCAATACACCCAAAAATCTATGAGATTCTACTAAATTTGGAATTTTATCAAGAATTACATTGTTTTTTAAAGAAAATAATTTGATTATATGAGTTTTGTCAATATTCAGCTTTAAACCATTATCTGAAAACCAATTTTTCATACAATCCAAAGTGTTTTCCATTGATACAACTAAGTTATTTACTGAATCCTCTCTTATAATTGCTGTTGTATCATCAGCAAATAAGATTAAATCTCTGCCAATAGCTTTTGGAAGGTCATTAATAAAGATCAGGAAAAACAGAGGGCCCAATATTGACCCTTGAGGTACACCATAATTAGATAAATTCCAGTTTGACATATGTTTCACACCGTTTTTGGTCACTATTGTTCTATACTTTCTGTTCTGTAAATAAGAGTCTAATAAAGAAAAACTTGTACCCTTTATACCGTAGTCTTTTAATTTAGAAAGCAAAATTGAATGATCCACACAATCAAAGGCTTTAGACAGGTCACAGAAAACACCAGCAGTAGTTTCAGACCTGTCCAAAGCCTTTGTAACATCATTAATAAATTCAATCAGTGCACTGTTAGTGCTGAATGTCTTTCTAAACCCAAACTGTTTTTCATAAAACAAATCATTGCTGTTAAAATAGTTTACTAGCCGGAAATTGATAACTTTTTTAAATATCTTTGAAAAATTACTTAAAACAGATATTGGGCGGTAGTTATTTATATCGGTTCTAGCCCCTTTTTTGTATATCGGAGTAATATGAGAGAATTTAATTTTTCCGGGAAAATACCACATTCAAAACATTTATTAATTATATCTGAGAGGTGCAGGTGGCGGAGATGTCCTTACGTTTTTCGGTGGTGGCGACCTCTTAAGCTTGGAGCTTCGATCAAAGGGGTTCTGCTCCACTTCAGACGTTTCTATTTGCTCATTGGAGCTCCTATTCAATGATGTGTTTGTAGGGTTTTTATTCAAATTCATCGTGTTTTCTCCAGCGCATCGTGCGGCAAGGAGCGGCCCGGAATCAGTCAGGAACGGGTATACCCTCGGGGACAAAAAACCCCTACCCCGGTTCCCCGGGGCCCGACCTCCGTTTGCCCAGCACCAGATACCTGACATGCCGGGGGTCGCCCGTCGCAATGCAGAGCCCGACCTCTGCATCCATGCCGCACTCCCTGACCAAGGACCGAAGTGGCTGGTTTCTCACGACCCACTGATAAAACCCATCGGCAGTGCAGAGCACACATCAACCCCTGCAACACAACAGGGGCACTCCCAGGGACTCCCAGTGAGTTCGTCGGTCACCCTTTTAGTCGCCTCTTACGACACGCCCGAGAAGGCTGCGGTGCTATTCTAACCCGGTACCGCACGGGGGGACCTGTACAGGTTGCAGCTATTTGTAAAGATAAAACTGCAGAACCACCTAGCCAAAGAAATCTTATAGTTGTTTTTTTAATACTAATGTTAGACACGTATCCAATATAGATCCGTCATTGGATACACTTCCTTAGCCTTGTAAATTACTTAACATAATATTTTCATATGTTTATAATACGTCTTTAACTAACTTCAGAGGTTGCTTTGATTGAGGTCCCTAGCTGTTTATGTTTTCGTTCTTTATTATATTTACAAGTTATCTAGTTTTCTTTATTCCTGTAGTGGCTACCTGATCTTGTGTTTTGTCGGTTTATAATGTCAAATGTTATTTGCATAACAATTTCATTTTTTATGTGTTAGGTGAAGAGACCGCCCTCAATTTACTATAATGAGCATGGTCATTTCATCATTTCAAAATTACTCAACTATCTATCGTGACTATATTTCATTGGCCTCATAATTTGTGTATCGGGAAAAGAACGTTTCTATTAAATTTCTGTAATGAATTAACCACGGTACATCAATAATTGGAGATTATTGATATATCATCATGCGTAATTTTAATGTTATAAGATATAATGTTGATATGAATTTATTTAGGTACTTTTAACGCTTATACCTGGTATTTATATATATTTACTTTTGAAAATCCTTGAAATTTTGGGTTTGGTGTAGGAAGGTAGCAGCTGGCTATTTTTAATTAATTTTTTGTTGTTAGGTAGAACATCTTGAAAAATAACAGTATGGCTAATGTGTGAAACTGTACTAATCTTTAGTCTTATTTATGATAAGTTGGACTCTACTAGGCCTATACTAAATATGTACAACTTACTGGAAGTTTGTAAGCCTAGCTGCCCAGACATGTTCCAACCCCAGGTATATAAGTCTCCATCGGCCGTCACTGCACAAGAGTGCCAACCTCCACAAGCTACTGCCACCACAGTCAGGCCTGCCAACCCCTCCACTAATCGAGGTTCTTCTTCTGCCTCCAGTTCTCCATGGCCAAGTTGTCCTCGGCTAAAATCGTGTATTGTCAATTACTTATAAAAATTACTAACAACTATTCAGAATCTAACGAAATATATTTTTTTTATTTTTTAGGCCATATATGTGTTCCTACTTCGAATAGAAAAAACTTTTTTTAATAAATATTTATTTACAATCTATTCTATACTAAAAACAATAAGTAAATTTCATGACAATTTTAGATGAGTTAATTACACTCCAACAAGTGCACTAACATACAAAAAATGTATAAAAAATTGAACTACTTTCTTTGAGTAAAAGTTTGAGAAAGCTGTGATTTTAAACGTTACAGTTTTTATTACTGAACCAAAGTTAATGACTTAAAAAACATAATTATCATGATTGCGCAATAGTCTACTAATTGTATTTTGATGATATAATATGCAAATTATCACTTTAAAGACCATTTATACAGTATTAGGAGTTGATTATGAGTTAGAAATGACTGTTTTATGTCCTGTTGGATAAACCGTGGTTTTCAGTTATCTGTGGTCTGTTCAAAACACAATTTTACTATGTTTTTATGTCAATAAACACGTTCCTCTGATAATTCAACCTTTTAGCAAATTTCCCTATAGGGAAACACAGCTATTACAGTAGGTGGCATGGTAAGACCTAGGCCCGGGACCGATTTACTTTTTCATTTTGATGTCCCCAGAGGCCAAAAACACAATTCATTCAAATTTTTATATATGTATATATATATTTATATATATATATAAAAAGAAATTAAACATTAATAAAATTAGTACCCAAGTAAAATTATTTATTAAAACAAGGCCTGCTATTCTTAATTCAACCAACAGCCACGCTCGCACATTTTTCTTCCTTTATTAACATATATATATATATGTGTCGGTTGTAAGAGTTTTATTTTTGAAAGGATTTTTATTTTAATTCAAAAGATGATTTTATTTGATTTTGATGGAAATGTTATTTTACTTAAGAAGATAGCTTTATTTTTGTAAATGTAAATATGATTTTAACCCTATGGTGTATTTATTATTTCGTCAAGTATAAATGCTTAATTTAAAACAGAAGAATGTTTTGTTCTTAAAGCTGAGACGGGCTTTGTTGTCATCGAGACTTATCAGTTGTTAAGAGCGATAAGGCGCGGGCGAGCAGTGCACCGTCGAGCCACCCGTCCAAGCGCGCTGGAACCTGCCGCTGTACAATACCTCGCGACCTTTGCACTGCTCCTGCCATCACAGGAGGGTATATAAAGGGCTCTGGGTACGGTGGTAAGAGAGTCAAGACCCAGCACTCGTACGGTGCGGGCACCGCTAACACGGAGTAAGGTAAGTTTAGGGGAAACGTGTGCAATAGTTATATATTGCACCGTGCGGTATTAAAGCGAACGATAGGGAAACGTGTGTAATAGTTTTATTATATTGCACCGTACGATATTAAAGCGAACGGTAGGGCAACGTGTGCAATAGTGATATATTGCACCGCACGGGATTTAGAATAGGCGTTAGGGATTTCGGCCCACGCTTATTTTTACCCAACGTCGACTTTCGGCCATCGAGGCACTAACTAAAGCGAACGGTAGGGGAAACGTGTGCAATAGTGATATATTGCACCGCTCGGGGTTAGAATAGACGGTAGGGATTTCGGCCCACGTTTATTTTACCCAACGTCGACTTTCGGCCATCGAGGCACTAACTTAAGCGAACGGTAGGGAAACGTGTGTAATAGTTATATATTACACCGTACGCATAGGAAGCGCGTGCAGTAGTTATATATTGCACCGCTCGGGGTTAGAATAGGCGGTAGGGATTTCGGCCCACGTTTATTTTACCCAACGTCGACTTTCGGGCCATCGAGGCACTAACTTAAACGAACGGTAGGGAAACGTGTGCAATAGTTTTATATTGCACCGTACATTTAGGAAGCGGGTACAGTAGTTATATATTGCACCGCTCGGGATTAGAATAGGCGGTAGGGATTTCGGCCGACGTTTATTTTACTCAACGTTGACTTTCGGCCATCGAGGCACTAACTTAAGCGAACGGTAGGGAAACGTGTGCAATAGTTATATATTGCACCGTACGTTTAGGAAGCGGGTGCAATAGTTGTATATTGCACCGCTCGGGGTTAGAATAGGCGTTAGGTATTTCGGCCCGCGTTTATTTTACCTAACGTCGACTTTCGGCCATCGAGGCATTAACCAACATCGATTACTAGGTCTGTGATAGCTGTGATGAAAAGAGTTAGGTGTTAAGCGGGATAAACTTGAATGAGTTCGCGAACCAGCTTGATCGGACTATGGAAACGGGGGTTTATGGGGTAAAAATAGGTTTTTCCTTGTATTATAATTATGTGTAAATTTGACTACATCTGACAAATTTTCCTTAGTGTTATGTATCCAATTTAGAATTTCATTTATGTATAATCCAAAAATGGTGTGAATTCTAAGATTTTTAAACAGGTTTTTACATGATTTTCTCCTTCTTGATTTGGTTAAGATTCTAATAACTTTTTTTTCAGTAAAATTAGTAGGGATTTGACTTCTGTTGACACTCCCCACAGTATGATTCCATACCTCAAGATGGATTCAACGTATCCATAGTAAACTGTGATACATGTATCCTGGGGTACACAGTTTATCAGGTGAAAGAAAGCAAAAGAAATTTTTTTTTTTCTGTTGCAGCAAACCTAAGTACTCGTTAAACTAATTCTATTTAAATAGGGAGTAATTGTGATATTTTTAAGGTGACATTTTAGTGTAAATCCAATCAGGCAAATGAAAATTCGCTAAGTCTGCAGGTTTGCTGCGGCGGGGGTATTTGCTATCCCGACCATGCTCCCGGTCCCGTAGGAGACAGATTAGCGAGGTTATATTGTAATTTGAAAAAAGCGTTTGGACAAATATGACTTCAACACTCCAGTAAGTATGAGGCAGCAAAGTTTTAATTTTGAACAATAATCATGTATGCCAGACTTTATCAAACGCCCGGGCTACGTCCAAAATAGCAGATGAACAAAAACGGTCAAGATCTCATTTGATTACATTCACTATTCTATGCACTTGCTCGATGGAATCCAAACTGATGGGAAGGCAACAATAATTTTTTATCAATTATAATTTGGAGTCTTTGTAAAATAAAGTTTTACCAGGTTTCGGAATAACAACAATTTGTGAAACCTTCCACTGTATTGGGAAGTATTCAAGGCATAAAACTGCATTGAAAAGTACTGTAAGGAAAACTATTCCTTTTCATTTACCTTTTCAACACAATACCTGTTATCATATCACAACCAGAGGCTTTTTTGCAGTTTAAATTGTCTTTTATTACTTTAGCTACTCCAGATGTCGTAATAATTTTTATTGGAAAATCAAGTTGATTTGGAGGATTGATGTTTCCAAAATCTCTTTCTTTTATTGTATTTTTTAAGATGATGAGGATAACATGATTTGACCTAAGAGTTAAAACTATTAGTTGGTGATTAAGATAAATTTAAAAGGATACTAGTTTTTCAAAATGTGTTCAACTAGGCTCAAACATACACATGTGTTTATAGGTTCAAACATACATTAAAATTTGGGCGAATAGTGTTTTGGTCTATGGAGATCAAAATAAAAAAGTTAATCGGTCCCAGCTTTCTTCTCCAAAATTTGATAAAATTTTGTAAAAAGAATAAAAAATCATGGATCTACCAGCTACAGTATTGTCCATTATCTATGCAAAAGGTTTGAGGAGGTCTTAGTACTTTACTGGCTGAACAAAGAAAAAAAAATTGAATTTTACATAATGGGAGTAAACAAAAATTAAAAATTGAATTTTTTGTAAGAATAAACTTGTACAGCAATTTTTCAGAGTTAAATACAAAATACTAACCTTCCCTCTCCCACAGAGAACACTTGACCATTGTCTGACAGTAAGATGATGTGAGCTCTACCACAGGCTATGTCCTTCTCCTTCACACTAGGTAGAGTCAGCTTATTGGGCCAATTAAACATTACTAACCTTCCCTCTCCCACAGAGAACACTTGACCATTGTCCGACAGTAATATGATGTGAGCTCTACCACAGGCTATGTCCTTCTCCTTCACACTAGGTAGAGTCAGCTTATTGGGCCAATTAAACATTACTAACCTTCCCTCTCCCACAGAGAACACTTGACCATTGTCCGACAGTAAGATGATGTGAGCTCTACCACAGGCTATGTCCTTCACCTTCACACTAGGTACAGTCAGCTTATTGGGCCAATTAAACATTACTAACCTTCCCTCTCCCACAGAGAACACTTGACCATTGTCCGAAAGTAAGATGATGTGAGCTCTACCACAGGCTATGTCCTTCACCTTCACACTAGGTAGAGTCAGCTTATTGGGCCAATTGAACATTACTAACCTTCCCTCTCCCACAGAGAACACTTGACCATTGTCTGACAGTAAGATGATGTGAGCTCTACCACAGGCTATGTCCTTCTCCTTCACACTAGGTAGAGTCAGCTTATTGGGCCAATTAAACATTACTAACCTTCCCTCTCCCACAGAGAACACTTGACCATTGTCCGACAGTAAGATGATGTGAGCTCTACCACAGGCTATGTCCTTCTCCTTCACACTAGGTAGAGTCAGCTTATTGGGCCAATTAAACATTACTAACCTTCCCTCTCCCACAGAGAACACTTGACCATTGTCCGACAGTAAGATGATGTGAGCTCTACCACAGGCTATGTCCTTCTCCTTCACACTAGGTAGAGTCAGCTTATTGGGCCAATTAAACATTACTAACCTTCCCTCTCCCACAGAGAACACTTGACCATTGTCCGACAGTAAGATAATGTGAGCTCTACCACAGGCTATGTCCTTCACCTTCACACTAGGTAGAGTCAGCTTATTGGGCCAATTAAACATTACTAACCTTCCCTCTCCCACAGAGAACACTTGACCATTGTCTGACAGTAAGATGATGTGAGCTCTACCACAGGCTATGTCCTTCTCCTTCACACTAGGTAGAGTCAGCTTATTGGGCCAATTAAACATTACTAACCTTTCCTCTCCCACAGAGAACACTTGACCATTGTCCGACAGTAAGATGATGTGAGCTCTACCACAGGCTATGTCCTTCTCCTTCACACTAGGTAGAGTCAGCTTATTGGGCCAATTAAACATTACTAACCTTCCCTCTCCCACAGAGAACACTTGACCATTGTCCGACAGTAAGATGATGTGAGCTCTACCACAGGCTATGTCCTTCTCCTTCACACTAGGTAGAGTCAGCTTATTGGGCCAGTTAAACATTACTAACCTTCCCTCTCCCACAGAGAACACTTGACCATTGTCCGACAGTAAGATGTTATTAGCTCTACCACAGGCTATGTCCTTCACCTTCACACTAGGTAGAGTCAGCTTATTGGGCCAGTTGAACATTACTAACCTTCCCTTTCCCACAGAGAACACTTGACCATTGTCCGACAGTAAGATGATGTGAGCTCTACCACAGGCTATGTCCTTCTCCTTCACACTAGGTAGAGTCAGCTTATTGGGCCAGTTAAACATTACTAACCTTCCCTCTCCCACAGAGAACACTTGACCATTGTCCGACAGTAAGATGATGTGAGCTCTACCACAGGCTATGTCCTTCTCCTTCACACTAGGTAGAGTCAGCTTATTGGGCCAGTTGAACATTACTAACCTTCCCTCTCCCACAGAGAACACTTGACCATTGTCCGACAGTAAGATGATGTGAGCTCTACCACAGGCTATGTCCTTCTCCTTCACACTAGGTAGAGTCAGCTTATTGGGCCAATTAAACATTACTAACCTTCCCTCTCCCACAGAGAACACTTGACCATTGTCTGACAGTAAGATGATGTGAGCTCTACCACAGGCTATGTCCTTCTCCTTCACACTAGGTAGAGTCAGCTTATTGGGCCAATTAAACATTACTAACCTTCCCTCTCCCACAGAGAACACTTGACCATTGTCCGACAGTAAGATGATGTGAGCTCTACCACAGGCTATGTCCTTCACCTTCACACTAGGTAGAGTCAGCTTATTGGGCCAATTAAACATTACTAACCTTCCCTCTCCCACAGAGAACACTTGACCATTGTCTGACAGTAAGATGATGTGAGCTCTACCACAGGCTATGTCCTTCACCTTCACACTAGGTAGAGTCAGCTTATTGGGCCAGTTGAACACTTCTCCTACATCAAATTATTATTAAGGCATAGATGAATAACTATATAATATTCTACTATTACACAAAAAGAGTTTAAGATTTAAAATAACATACCGATACTCAAAACTAATTTCTTTAGGGTACACAAAGTTTACTTGTTTAACTTTACCTGCAGTATTACTTACCTGATTGGAACTAAATCATATTTGGATGTGGTATTGTTTGGATCCGTTAGAAGAAACAGTAAAATATGATGGGCAGAATATGTGAAATCGTTAATTTAGTCCTTTGTAAAAGACCTATAAATATGAGGGTTTTTTTCTAAGGACAGCCTGTTTGTACGTACAGCTTTTTAGTTTGTGTGTACGCCAATGAAGCTCCTCGCCACTTACTGGCATCATTTGTGAACAAAATGGCACCATTTCAAGAATCAAGAGCTTTATTGTCGTTGACCTTTTACAAGGAATAGACATAGTCAACACAAATAAAAACTAAAACTAGAATAATAGTGGGTTCTAAATTAAAAATCAATATTAACATTAGAAACTAAATACTCTGTTATACAATAGTATGGATTTTTAATGAGCCACTCAAAAAATTTGGACTCAAACCTATTAAAAGGAACCAGTTTTGCTGCCAGATCTAATTTATTAAAAAACCGAATGCAATTTATTTTATGACAGTTATCTGTTTTGGCCAATCTATGGGCAGGGATATCTAGATTGAATTTTTCTCTTGTATTGTAAGAATGTATACTCTCTCTTCAAGTGAATTGATGAAGATTAGCTTTAGTGTAGAGGAGTAAGTGAAAAATATACAAATTTACTAAGTTCATAATTTTAAGGTTTATGTTAAAGAAGTCGACAGCTATCCACAGGGCCAGCCAAAATGATTGTTCACATAACTTTTTTGGCAATAAAAGAATTTCATGATGTGGGGGGAGTGTCCCCATAGTATAATCCCGTAAGAAAAATGTGATTGAAAAAAAAAATCAAATTAAGTAATCCAAAGGTATACTCATTACTAACAAAATCTCTAAGTTTCCAAATTAGGTAATTTACTCTTGACATTTTTTAAATGTCATTTTTATGTGCTCTTGCCAATTTGCAGCTCTGTAGCTGACATGTCCTGAGTGGCTAGACAATTTTTAAATTATTGAATCTCCCGCCGCATGCCATAAAAGGTCAGTTAGGCCCAGCGCACACGGTGTGACTGTTTTACAACTTTCGTTGCAAACCAGTTGCACGTGCAACTGGTTTGAGACCTCGGCAATGTATTGCAGTGGGTAAGCGCACACGACACAACTGGTTGTATGCGATTTCAAAAAAAGTTTGAAACCAGTCACATGCAACCATGAGCCCGACGTTGCAGTTGCGTTGCAGACTTCAGTTGCACGAGACCACGGGGTGTTTTTGTGGTGTTTGGGGGTATTTTGGTGGAATTTTGACGGCCGTATAGTGTTTTTAGTGTTTATAATTTCCTATCCGAATAGCTCTAGCTGCTACAAACAGCCTAGTACTAACATTCTTGCTCAAATAAGGGTGGACCCAATGCTCTCTCAGAACCCTTTGCTGTCTTCGGTATTGATAATAGCTAATAACGTCTTCTTCGTCTAAGTCCGACGTAGTAAGCGCACTTAAGGCCTTAAAATAACGTAACTGTACTAAATTTGCACTCCACTGATTGCACAATAGACGCAACTGTAGTTGTAAAACAGTCACACCATGTGCGGACAGAAGTTTTGTTTCAGTTGCAAACTGGTTCCAGACGCAACTGGTTTGCAACAGTTGTTGTAAAACAGTCACACCGTGTGCGCTGGGCCTTAAATGTTTCTAGACCACAAGAAACATATCCGATGCCGTCATTCATCTTCAGATGACTGAAGGTTATGGCCCTAATGCAATGAGTAAGGGTTAAGTGCAGAAGTGGATTCTAAGGAAGTTATAAAATGGCTGTAAAATTGCTGTACAGTAGACTCACTCTTATCCAGACACCTTTTAACCGGACATCGGTTTAACCGGACTATATCGGCAGGAAGTAGTTGGTACTGAAACGACTGTTCTCGTGGGAAATATTTGAGACCAGTTATTACGTGTCTAAATACAATGCACTCTGTTAAAAGCATTAAATTTCATCCCTTGGTCTGTAAATAAATTTTTCTCTTGTACTTTGTTTAACAGATGTTATTAACACATGTTATATTCATTATTAATTTTTGTAAACAGTTTTCAGTAATAATACACATTCTTTTGTTCACATCACAGTGTTTTTAATTTAATCTACATTTTTTCTATCAAATAATCATTTCAAGAACATCAGTTCACAACAAAACAAACATGGTCCTTCGAGCCGGATTTATTTCTCTACAGTTCATTGAATCATTACAGTAAGTTTTAATTTTTATTTCAAACAATCATGGCAGAACTTAGGCTTCTACAAAACAAGAGAGCTTCAATCAAAGGCTCTCTCTCAAAAATGAAGACCTTTGTGAACAGTTTTGACATAAATACAGGTAATTTATTAAATATTGAAATCAGAAATGAAAAGTTAGAACAGTTGTACAGTGAATTCACAGACATTCATAGCAAAATAGTTGCAATCACTTTAGATGAAACTGACAACAGTTTTGATGAATTTGAAGAAAATTACTACATGGTAAAAGTAGCTTTCAAGGAAATTTTGGATACAAATAAGAATCTTTCAAGGCCTGATTTGAATCATTCAAGTTCTGGTAGTTCAATTGGCAATGTGTCACAAGAATCAAATTTTTTAAAACTTCCTAAATTCAATTTACAACCATTTGATGGAAAATATGAAAATTGGGTTTCATTTTACGACCTATTCCAATCAACGATTCATGCAAATCAATGTTTATCAGATGTGCAAAGGTTTTTCTACCTCAAGTCATGTTTGAAAGGCGAACCTTTAAATCTCCTTTCAACTTTGCCCCTGACTCAGTCCAAATACTTAGTTGCGATTGAACTCTTAAAAGAAAGGTATTGCAACAAGAAAATAATTGTTAACACTCACCTTAAAGCTTTGTTTTCACTGCCCAATGTAAACTCACTATCAGATTTGAAATCTTTATTAGACATCACCAATGTAAATGTGAGGGCATTAAACAACCTTGGGTACAAGACTGAGGAGTGGGATGTATTACTAGTTCATTTGCTAACATCAAAATTAGATCAAAATTTAAGAACCAAATGGGAATTGAGTAATACAACCAAAGAAGTAGGCACTTTCACACAATTGGAACAATTTCTTAATCAGTATATTCAAGCTTTAGAAATAAGTCAAGATACCAGCAAAGGTACTAATGTATTTAGACACATTAGAACAAATTCAACTGTAATATCTAAAGGTACTACACAGAGTTGTCCTTTATGTGTACAAGATCATCTCTTGTTTAAATGTACAGAGTTTTTAAGTCTCAAACCTTATGATAGAATTCAAAAGATCAAACAGCTTCATAGATGTTTCAATTGCTTATCAGCTACTCACATGGTTGACACTTGCAAAGCATCCAAATGCAAGGTCTGCTCCAGAGCTCACAATACCTTATTACATATTTCTAAAGAGTATATGCCAGAATTAGACCCTAAAGTTAGTTCTAAGCATAAACTTGACACAGGATTTCAAGCTAAGCCCTAACCTGAAGTTAGCTCACACAACAGTGATTCCACCAAATCAGAAGAAAAGAAGAATTCAAAAGGTGGTAATAGTACAAAACTATTATCAGCAGGCATTGGTTCTCCTACAAGAGTGATGCTGTCCACAGCCAGGGTCAAGGTAAAGGACTGCTGGGGTGAGTATCAATACTGTAGGGCTCTGATAGATCCCGGGAGTGAGGGAAGCTTCATTTCTCAAACCTGTTTTCAAAAGTTAGGATTATCACGACAACCATTCAACGTTTCAGTCCACGGAGTAGGTAACAGCCATGCTGGTTATACACTTTTAAGGATTAACGTAACTTTTCATTCAAACCAAGCAAGATACAGACATTCAAGTTACAGCATACATCTTGAACAAGCTAACTAACGTTTTCTCACTCAACACATCCATTGATCATTGGTTTCATATTCAAAACATTGAACTTGCTGATCCATACTTCTACCAATCAGGTCAAATAGATATCATTCTAGGAGGTGACATTTACGTAGATCTATTGATAGATGGTATAGTTAGAGGCCAGTAAACACTCCATCAGCTATCAATTCCAAACTAGGTTACTTGTTGTCAGGAAGATTATCAGATCCATCATCTGAAGGTATTAATTCATTCAGATTATCTATTCAAAACAATGACATAAACACTGCAGTAGAGCGTTTTTGGAAGATAGAAGAGGTCAGTCATGAACCTACTTCTCAATTGCAAGATAACGACAATTGGGAAAATCATTTTCTGACTACACATAATCGAGATGAATCCGGAAGATTTTGTGTTTGTCTTCCTTTTAAGCCATCAATTACTGAGCTTGGTGATTCTTATTCAACAGCATTAAGCAGATTTAAAAGATTAGAATCTACACTCACTTCTGACAGACGTGAAAGTTATCAGTCTTTCATGAAAGAATACATTGATTTAGGTCACATGCATCAAACACCCACAGAATTATCGTCCATTGACTGTAACAAACACTACTATCTACCTCATCATGCAGTATATAGAGATTCGAGTTCAACAACTAAAACCAGAGTTGTTTTTGATGCATCATGCAAAACCACATCAGGTACCTCATTGAATGATCATCTGTATACTGGTCCAAAACTTCAAACTGACATAATGACTTTGCTAATTAGATTTCGATTGCATAAAATTGTATTTACGGCAGACATTGAGAAGTTTTACAGGCAAATTTTAGAGAGCAAATCTGATCAATGCTATCAAAGAATACTTTGGAGATCATCACCAGAAGAACCGATTAAGTCTTATGGCCTTAACACAGTTACTTATGGAACATCATGCGCACCATTCTTATCCATACGTTGTTTACATCAACTATCTGACCACATTAAGGATCATTCTCCTGAAGTGGCTAGGATATTGAAAGAAGACTTTTATGTTGACGATCTTGTAAGTGGAGCCAATACTGTAGATCAAGCTTTATCCATAAAAAATGAACTAGTTCAAACACTAAATCAAGCAGGGTTTCCATTGCGCAAGTGGTCATCTAACGACAAAGTGACTTCTGTGGAATCCTGAAAGTGATACTTATCAGTATTCAATTAATTTACCTGACTTACCAAGCAAAATAACTAAACGTAAAATTTTATCTGAAATTGCCCATCTATTCGATCTATTAGGTCTATTGTGTCCAGTAATAACCAAAGCAAAACTCATCATGCAAAAAACCTGGTTATGCAATAATGGTTGGGACGAGACAGTTTCTGATGATGATTTATCCAATGAATTTGTTCAATATTGTAACAATTTGTCACACCTCAAGAATCTTCAGACACCCAGACCATTGATTTTATTTGGGTCTGAAGTTATCTATGAATTATTTGGTTTTTGCGATACTTCAGAAAAGGCATACGCTGCGGTCTTATACCTCAGAAGTGTTTCAACATCAAATGTACAAGTGCAATTGATCTGTGCTAAGTCAAGAGTATGTCCACTTAAGAAAGTTTCAATCCCCAGGCTGGAATTATGTGGCGCAGTGCTATTAGCTCAACTAGTTGACAAAGTAAAACCAATCTTACCTACCTCAAACACTTATTTATTTACTGACTCTACAGTTGTGCTAGCATGGATTTCAAAACCCCCAAACACATGGATAGTTATTTGTGTAACTAGTGGTGAAAGTGGCACTTTGCTGCACACGAGAGCAATGTTTACGCACGAGCCGCAGGCGAGTGCGGAATGATCTCGAGTGCAGCAAAGGCCTTTTTCACTCGTGTTACACATTATATTTTTCCTACAGTCACTATAAAGCATATAAATAATTAGTCTTTCAAACACTATACAACACGGTTTTAGGTTCAGCTGGCAACACAAATGGTGCCCTAGAGAAAGTAGTACCCGCGGTCCGTATCACTCCGCTATTTTTCCTCGGCAAGAAATGTGCTCCGCGTTTTGAGAATATAGTTCCGTATGTTTTTGTAATTTGAAGAGGTTTCCGCGCCTAAAAAAATGCTTTAATAGTAGTTTACGCAACGATTGCGTTAAGGGAGTCTTTACGACACGAGTAGAAAATTTAAGGCACGAGCCTTGGCGAGTGCCTTAAAAACTTCTACGAGTGTCGTAAAGACTATTAACGCGAGTTGCGTACACTACTTTACCTACGACCGTTTTTTAATTACTATCAATCTGGATTTAATTACTAACAATCACTATTGATAACTTTTTAGACAGGTTATGTTTTCGTGTATTGTCATTGCCACTGAACAAGTCGGATCAACAATTAAATTGGTCAACTGATCAGCTGATCAGCTGATTAGTTTGACGTTCGAAGCATTTCAATTTTAATTCTTTTCTCTCAATACTTGAACCTCATTGGTCCGTTACCTGTGTGGATATGAGAAAACTATGCGGATATGAAATGAAACTATGCGGATATGAAAGTAAACAGCTGTAAAGTGAAACTTTTAAATTCTAAGAACTGGACTGAAATGGCTACTTTAAAAAACGGTCGTAGGTAAAGGTATTTTCTTGTTTATTAAGATCGTAGGAATGTTTTAAAAACTTTTAAAAGAAAAGTTCAGAAAGTTCAGAAATACCGAAACTATAAACACGAAATGACAGGTTAAATCGTAGTTATAATAGTCAATCAGCTGCTCATAGTATTATTATCTTTAAGTGTTGCCAACCTATTTCCAAGCGTACACGGATTACTTGCATAATAGAACCACGCTGTTTTGTGTTGTTCAGTTGGAATCCTGATGTGCGGCAAAGTATAAACCGTACGACAAAGTATAAACCGTACGGCAAAGTATAAATATGCAGCAATTAGCAGCTTTCTGTACTATAAAAAGTACAAGGAAGCCAACTTTGTCGGGTGACTGTAGGAAAAAACATTTGTAAGCAGCATAGTGTCACAAATTCAATACCTCACCAACACATCAGATTGGAATCACATTTGTTCAGAAGATAATCCTGCTGACCTAGCATCTAGAGGTGTCTTAGGAAACAATTTTATCAATCAGGATTTGTGGTGGTTTGGACCTTCATGTCTGTTGGATACAAACATGAAAATGAGTGAACCTATTCATAATGAAAATGCATATGTACCTGAAAGAAAAGATCCGTCAAATGTGCTTTACTCATGGAAAACAGTACTGATGAGTGGTATTTAAAATTTAGTTCATACGCCAAAGCCACCAGAGTTACTGCTTATTGCCAAAGATTTATAAACAATCTCAAACAGCCTGTACAAAATGGACCACTTACCCCAAATGAATTAGACAATGCTCTTCTATGTATTGTCAAACAAATTCAAAAAATTCATTTTGCTGAAGAAATATTATGTTTGCAGAAGAAGAAATGTGTGAAACCCACAGTAAACTTTCAAGTTTAAATCTATTTTTAGATGACAATGGAACAAGTTTTGTTGGACCAATCAACAAGTTGTTAAAAGTTCCTACTAAATCACTTTTTTGCGGGGGAGTTATGTTAAAAGCATTAAATTTCATCCCTTGGTCTGTAAATAAATTTTTCTCTTGTACTTTGTTTAACAGATGTTATTAACACATGTTATATTCATTATTAGTTTTTGTAAACAGTTTTCAGTAATAATACACATTCTTTTGTTCACATCACAGTGTTTTTAATTTAATCTACATTTTTTCTATCAAATAATCATTTCAAGAACATCAGTTCACAACAAAACAAACACACACCTAAATTTAAGTTAAATACTGTATACAGTATGCCTTTAAACAGTCCATTTTAACAAATCTTTGGGGACATCGGTTTAACCGGAAAAACTGTTATCCAGACTGGACTGGCCTCGGTCCCGAGGAGTCCGGAAAAGAGAGAGTCTACTGTACTTACAAGTAGGTAAGTCTTAAGTACAATCAATTTCAGACCTGTTAATTTGATTACATTAAATCAATAAATAAGGTTACCTTCGTCAATCAGCTCATAGAAATTGTAACATTGTTACGGCCGTTTCAATCAATATCCGCACAAGAGCAAGTAGCTGAGTCTGCTACTTGCTCTTGTGCGGATATGTGTAATCAACAGGCCTGTTTAGTCAAAAACCCCCGTTTATGTTAATGTATGTGTACGTCGCGTGTGACAGTTTGTGTTTTTGTATATTAACGACGCCACTAAGGCTGAACGTCTGACGATGGCATGGATATGCTGAAACGGCCGTAACAATGTTACAATTTCTATGAGCTGATTGACGAAGGTAACCTTATTTATTGATTTAGTCACAAGATCAGCTCAGGGGCTAAAAATATGGATTTTTAATGGTTACATTAGCTTTGAATCATATATTTTTGCTACACAGTAGAACATCAATTATCCTAAATAATTGGGTAGGCCTATATACCTGTATGTAAGTACGCTTGATGAGAGTCAATGATCTCTTGACCTATTCAAGTTTACTAGATGTAGAGGTGGGCCAGTCAGATGTAACATTTTGATTTATGCTACAACTCAGCTGAAGATTACACAGATAAAATAAGCCTTGCCTTTTGAAGTGAGTATTGCAGTAACCAGCTCTCCACAGCAAACTTTAGTGATGATGACTGGAGAGGTGTCTTCATCACATATGTCTACGTCTGAGAGAAGAATGTTGGTCAAATCCTTCCACAGATCAGTCTCAACATTGTATTGCCAACAACACCCATCCTCCGTCACACACAACACCTGTCTTCGATTGCAGCTAGCCTAAAAACATAAAGCTTTTAGAATTAGAGCTAAGCCTTTTCAATTTTTTTAAATTTAACATTTAACAAAATTTTCCATATAGGGAATAAGCTATTACTGTATCAATCAATTATCAATCATTAAGATGGGGACGACACTTAGGTGCATATTTTAACCCAAATATGAGCGAAGGATGAGTGTAGAATGGTGTGAGATGATCTGTGTAGCTTTGTTACTGACTAAGATCAGCTGTTTCATTAGCCAGGATCATTTATTTAAAGCCCAATGATCAGGAACAGCTGGGTCCAGTAGATCTCGGTCTGTAGGTTTTGGTGGTAAGACCTAAACCAACCACTTTACTTATTCAGTAAAAAAAAAAAACTCGGAAGATTTACATGAATGGTTAACATTATTTGTGTAGCACTAAACAGTGTAAAAAAACTATATGTTTTTAAAAATATCAAATATGGCAGATATTAATATTTCACGACAACATTTTTTAGAGTACCTAATCATTGAAAAAATAAAATTGAAAGGAACATATTGATTTTTTGTTTAAGAAAAGATCAATATTTTTGTTTTTTTTTACCGGCACCGGTACCTGTATTTTTGTAGCCTTGAAATGAAAATCCTTCTTTAATGAGGCGAACTTAGGATATCTCATGGTTCTTTCTTACAGTTGACCTCTAGCCTTGACAGGGCAACTAGAACTAGAAAGGTTTCGAGCTTGGGTTTTGAGATTTTGGATTCAATTTTTTAAGTTTTAATTTCAGTTACCGTTATGAGATTTTCTATTTTTGGTTTTGACCGTTTCTTCTTAGGTTTGATGCAACAGGGAAGGTTGCAAGTGTGAACATTTCATTGAAATGTTAATAGCTTAGTATTAAAAAATCTATTTTCCAAGTTTAATGAAAATATATCCATAAACAAGCAAACTACAACAGATTATTTATTTCCAAGCGTTGTTAGCCTCTGGATTACGTTTGAATATTTATAATGGTATAAGTACCTGCATTCAGTAGTCAAAATTGCTGCTTATGGCAACTATAGTTTTGGTTCAGCTAAGTAACCATCTTCAGGCCGTACAAGGTGTTGTTCAGTTTATTTATTCTCCATAAGAATACCATTGGATTTTAAATTTACTATTCATTTTATTTTCTCCATAACTATTACACGGACAAAAATGCTTTAGCATACTTCATTATCAGTTTTTTAAGCTCTACAAGATTATTTAGAAAAAAATTTGTAAATATAAGTTTTGGAGGTCAAAGTGAGAAAAATCTAGCCTATTTTTACCCCATAGACGCTTTAGTTCCCATAGTCCTATTCAATAGCTGGTCTCAACTTGTTAGAATAAACAAAGGTTTACAGGTTTGCACCAAATGTTATCAAAATTTATTTCTCTATACCGAGACTGCACGGATTTCACTAGCGGGAAGAGGTACTGCTCGGATTTCTCTAGCAGGAGAGGATTCTGCATGGATTTCTCTAGTGGGAGAGGCTACTGCTCGGATTTCTCTAGCGGGAGTGGGTACTACTCGAATTTCTCTAGAAGGAAGAGGTACGGCTCGGATTTCTCTAACAGGAAGAGGTACTGCTCGTATTTATCTAGCAGGAAGAGGCACTGCACGGATTTCTCTAGCAGGAAGAGGTATTGCTTGGATTTCTCTAGCAGGAGAGGGTTCTGCATGGATTTCTCTAGTGGTAGAGGCTACTGCTCGGATTTCTCTAGGGGGAAGAGGTACTGCTCGGATTTCTCTAACAGGATTGGGTTCTGCATGGATTTCTCTAGTGGGAGAGGCTACTGCTCGGATTTCTCTAGCGGGAAGAGGTACTGCTCGGATTTCTCTAGCAGGAGTGGGTTCTGCATGGATTTCTCTAGTGGTATAGGTAATGTGGCCATATGTCCCGTTTTACAGCAAGTTATCCCGCTGTCCCCACAATTGGCCGGGGGACGCCTAAATGTCCCGCTTTGGAGGTCAGGCGTTTGAAATATTGAAATACTATATGGAATATCAAATTTAGCCTTTCCACACTAATGTTTAGTTTGAGTAAGAATTATCGTAAGATTTATCGTGTTAGTAATTTTAAGGAAAACTAAAGGAAACCAACCTATTAACCTATTTGGTTAACTGTACAATTAGCACGTCATCATTCATCGATCCTCGATCGCGTGAGCTCAAACCATCTATACTATACTCGTCAACAATCTGCACTAAAATAATAGTACAATTTATTTCCCCGCGAGTGTTGAAGCGCCGTAGGCTACTACGGCCTCAAAAGACGCAGGTTGTCAGTGTTGTCAGCAAACTAAACTGTCAAGTTGTTTACAGTACCTTAACCTTTAACTTTTAGATAAAATTCGGTGCGAAGAAGGTTTGTTTGTGATTGGATTATTGTACTGTTCAATTGTGCATTAGATAATGACCAAACGGAAATGCACATTAGAATAGTGAGTTACAAGCAAAATATCCGTTTATTAAACTCAAGTTTGAGACGAACAAAAGTGATGTATCCGCCATTTGTAAATTCGCGTCCTTCGCTCAGGCTCAGTTCCCGCTGTTTACGTGCACTTGGTGAAGCTATCCACTTTTAAGGAGATTTCTAAGTAAAGATATCTTCTGCCAATGAACTTACAAATAGGTTAAATATAATAAAAACTCAATTAAAAACCAATTTATGTTTTAAAAATTATTATGTCTAGATTGCATAAAAACGCTAGTTTACAGCTACTGTATTATTTTTCAAAATTTTCCCGGACCCCCCCTTTCAGCTGAGGGGTATTCCATACCCCCAGACCCCCCGGAACAGGGTGTCCCGCTTCGTACTCCAAAATATATGGTCACGTTAGGTATAGGCTACTGCTCGAATTTCTCTAGCAGGAAGAGGTACTGCTCGGATTTCTCTAGCAGGAGAGGGTTCTGCACGGATTTCTCTAGTGGGAGAGGCTACTGGTCGGATTTCTCTAGCGGTAGTGGGTACTACTCGAATTTCTCTAGCAGGAGTGGGTTCTGCATGGATTTCTCTAGTGTGAGAGGCTACTGCTCGAATTTCTCTAGTGATAGTGGGTACTACTTGGATTTCTCTAGAAGGAGAAGTATAGCTCGGATTTCTCTAAAGGGAAGAGGTACTGCTCGGATTTCTCTAGCAGGAAGAGGTACTGCTCGGATTTCTCTAGCAGTAAGAAGTACACTGGACGGCGACTAACTGTAGGCCCCTCTGTACCCTGTTATAAAATAGGCTCCACTCTACTCCTGATCCGCTGGAGTCTTACTTTGCTGTTTTCTTCATCCGATGTATTGATGTCAGGGCACACTTTGTAGTGAGGGGCCTCACAGAGACCTAATGTTATAGCTTTATTCCTTATATGGGAAATTCGCTAAAAGCAAGAAATTAATTCAAAACTTTTTACTGACAAAGTGATCATAAAAAGTGTGATATTTTTGCGGTAACAATACTACTTCAGTGCTGAAGGCCCATCCGTTGACCCACCATTGGTGGGAGTAGCCTTCTGAGCGCCGGCTCGTTTTCAGCACTTTATTCTCGTGCTAAGGCGCAATCCAGTTAGACTCAGGGTTCCTTTTTAAGTTAATTCCCTGACCTTCCCTGACCGTTTTCTGTTAATTTCCCTGATCAGGACATATTTGAGATAGGTACTGTATGTTTTCTTAATATTTAGATACGGTAGAGCCTTGATTAGCCTAACCATCACCCTTTTAACCTTCAATCTCCGTTATCCTTCGCCCCTCTACAGTACCTACTTACATTATTTTTAAATATGATTTTATTTCACTGTATGAACTTTGAACGAGTAAAACATAAAAATAACAGTCCTGTATTGCTTTTGTATGTAAGTAATTTTAATATAAATATTTTATATTCACTTTTAAAGGGTTAAATTTTTTCCAAAAACCTTTTAAATCAACTTACTGTTCTCCTTCTATTTGCTCAACTTACGCCCCCGGTCCCGAGGGTGACAGTTAATAGAGGTTCTAAGTTCTATTGTAAAAATATTATTGTGAGTAAAAATACAACTTTTTAATGTTCAATCCACCATTCCCATAACCACCTTTACGCCTCTTTTTAGCGAATATCCCATATAAGGGATTAGCTATTACTGTAGGTCTCTTGGTAAGACCTGATATACTTTTTTTTATGTCCCTAGAGGCCAAAAAACACCATCCGTTCAAATTCATATGTGTTTTATATAATATACTAGCCAACCCGTGCGAAGCATTCGCACTGAATCCTTCTAAAATCCCACTTATTGAGGTACAGTTACATACAGTTCTGCGTAGTAAGTGCGTCGTTGATTTAAGTCATGTTCAAAGTAATAATATGGCCATAAACTATTTTTGTTTTGATGGTTTTGTTTTTACACAGATATAGTTTTCACAAAAAAAAACACCCTTGACAAAGCCAAAAACACTTAATGTGTAATAAAAAAACAGGGTCTGGCACGTTCAATCCTTCCTTTGTCAGCGTCTGTCCATGTAGGCCTACCTTATTTTAAGTTGTGGAAAAGTTAGCTTTTAAGGGAAATTCCTTCTTAGTCAGTTTGAAAGGACTACGGCTATTGCGTAATATGAAAGTTTGAATGGAGTCAGCCAACTCCGCTTTGATAGTGTAGGTCCCACCAACGAATTTTAGCATGTGTAGTGTAGTAGCAAGTGTGCTACAACCAATTATTGATAATGCTTAGGTTTCTCATAAACATTATAGTAGAGTTATTTTTAGCATGGGTTTATGAGGTAACTAACCTAGTGCTTAGGAAAATTTTAATGCATACAACAGAGCGTTTTACGTCCCTTGGTAAAGAACCAAATCAAACATCATCCAATCCAACACAACATAACCATTTATTGTAAGCTGTAATAAAGAAAAGATAAGAGGTGATGTTTGAAGTAGGAATTCTTAAATATACATTTAATGTACATGTATGTCAAAATAAAGGCTACCGGTATGTCGGTATCTTTTGCAATGGAAGAACATGAGCACAGATATACAAACAATAACAGGACAATTCACACATTCAAAGCTTTCAACCATACTAACTAGTCCATGTAAATAAGCATAAACTTGATGATCTGGTAATGGATAGGGTTAACAGCAGGTTTACCTTACAGACAAAATTTGAAGAAAATGCACAAATAAACAGGTTGACACAGAATTTTTGGAGCTACTAGCTTCTTTTTCAGTAAAAGAGTTTTTTTCTTGTAGGGTGTTCTCACCACCAAAGCAGAACGTTTTTAAACTTTCTGCAACGGACTTGGAAAAATCCAAAAATATTTTGCGGGCTTACGCCGTCTGAGTTGCATGTAAATTAACCACGTGTTTTATAGTTCCAATGAATATTTGGAAATAAATAATTTTTTTAACGCTCGTATCGGTTCGAAACCCTACTGTTCAAATCGCTTCGGGGATTTGGTTATATTCTATGTATCTTTCTTAAGATCAATGCACAGAATATTGATGTTGCAGCTTTCATTAATGTAATGCATGATGTTTTATAGCATTACGGAGAGTTTTTCTGTAGAAAATAAAGTTGTTGACTTAGGCTACAATCTTGACAATGTCATCTGTTTTTTAGCTATGCTATGATTTAAAACGTTATGCGACAATAAAGAATTATTTATTTATTTATTTACAATAGAAATATTTTATAAACAAAATATTATATCTGGTTATGTAAGTGAAAATTTAAAAACGTACGATTTCAGGAAAAGCACTTTTAAAATTTTTTGTTCCGTTTTTTGAAACTTTTTTATTTTTTTTATTTCATTGACATTTGAAGTTTCATAAAATGTCTATGGTAACGCAATATCTTTGGTGATTTTTTATTAATCCATTAATCCATCTTTGATGGAAAGACACAAAATTTTGTCACGACCATAACGGACATAAAACTGAATTTTAAAAATAGTTAATATTATTTGTATAACTATGTTTTGCTACAAATTAATTTACTTTTATGACCATTATACAATAAACAGCTCACTAAGCTTTTGGTATATTTGGTCTTTCTATAAAAAAATAAAAAAACTCCAAAAATTGAAAAAAACCAATAAAATCTTTTTAAGTTTGTATAACTCCGAAAAAACTTACTTGAGACCCGAAAAATCGTAATTTTTTATAGAGGTGTACTTTTTCTTCTTTTGTGTATAAAACATTGAAATATGATGATATTTTTATTTTTGAAATTTTTATGATAGAAATCATAAACGCGATGGTCAGGGACAAGCGGTACGGTCGTGAATTGTCTGGAATAATCTAAATATTTCTAAACAATCCTTTAATTATACTGTAAGTTATAATAAAAATATGTGTTTAAATTGAACTAAACTGTTCAATTTAGAATGATATTGTTATTGTCACGACCAAACACAGTATAGGCCCTAATCCATAAGGCTGGATTGGTCGGGAAAAAATCTGCGGTGGTCGTGAATCTTTGGTCGTGACATTACGTGTTATTTGGCTCTGTTCTGGCGGTAGCCCTGCACCTCATGTTCGAGGATACAAAGTGGACTTCTAGGTTAATGTAGCAATTGAAATATCATATCAACAAAAATTAACACCATGTCTACTTCATCAAATGACTACGTACGGTCATGGACACACCAAAATTACAAAAAACACAAACTTACCTTTATTAATCTTGTAACTACTTCTTTCAACACAAAACGACTGGCACAAAAAACTTGACGTACACCCCGAACTAGTCTCTAAAACGAACTGACGCAATCGACGCCAGGCTTGCCACTGTCGTGCTCCAAAGTTGAAAATTTTTCCCAAATGGTCGTGACGCCAAATCAAGGGACAGACTTATTTTGTCATGGTAGTCAGTTTGCAATGACAATAAAATTATAATATGCTCCTTTTTTGTAAGTTTAACAACTATTGATAACATAAAAATATTGGTTTAAATTTTTTCGGCATGAATAATTAGTCTAAAAACAGCGTGAAAGTTGGAAAATGTACCCTAGGGACACGTCATGGTCGTGTGTTTCGAGACTTTAAAAATACGAAAAAAATACCTAGAACCTATTTAAAACCAAATAAATGTGTGTAACATGTTGCACCCGTCCAAAAAAATATTTAAACACATAATAATAAAGTAAAAATCTAGTATCTACGAAGTAAAAGGCCAGGGACATGAAAACGTACGTTTTTAAATTTTCACTCATGTAGCACTTTCTGCAGAAACTTATACTTATGTTAAGTGTAAGAAAGGGCCATGTGGACGTAACTTTGCCTGTAACAATAAATAATGTTTCATTAAAAATAAATAAATAAAATACTACCAATAAGGCAGGCTGGGCTTTATGCTGACCTCATCGTCTTTCTGCGACAATGTCACACTGTTGCCTGTAGTTCTGCTTTGGGGGTTCTCACATCCTAGTAAACACGGAGAACACTCCACAAGAATAAGGGCTCTACTTTGAAAAAGGAACTAGTAGGTAGCTTAACAAATTCTGTGTTTTTGATGATTTGTGCATTTTCTTCTATTTCCATCAGCAAAATCAGCCTGCTGTTAAACCTATACATTATAAAATCCTCAAAAATCCTGACCTTAAGCAATCTTTAACAAAACTAATAAACTTGTAAAAATTACAGATAGTATACTATCTGTAATTTTTACAAGTTTATTAAAGTTACCTGACAAATAGTCTTTCCATTTGGAGTCTTTAATGACTTAGAGGAATTGCTTATTCCTCCTAAAAACCCACATAAGAAGAGTGTATTGTCTGAAACAATTAGGTCTCACTCAACTATAAAACCATGTAAATAAATTAAGTACCGTACCCATAACATACAGATTTAAACTTAAAATGATGTAAGGCCGCCTTCTCCCTAGGTCGCAGCCACGCTTTTCCCTTCACTCAGGCCAGGGTGACTACCATGTAGAGGCTGGGATCTTCTGGCAAAAAGTACTGCTTTGTGTCGAATAAATTTATTCATTCAAGATGGAATCAACCTTCTTGCTTTTATCCTTTCTTCTTTGGTTTATCGACAGATTTAAGTTAGTAGGCCTATTTAAGAGCCTGGCAACATCACCAGCAACAGTAGCTGGCGACGCACTGGCTACGTAACCTAGTAGGTCAATGCTAGTAGCCTGTTCAGTAGCCAGAATATTTCCGTTTTTAAAAACAGTGGCAACCGTAGTGGCGACAGGGCTCGGTAGTCAGTCGGTCGCAAAGTGTGGCTACCCTCATGTAATAACATCCGTAAGAATTAATGCCCAATCACAATCTGAGCCTACCAGTTTCGTCGCTGTCGACGTCGCCTCGCAATAAGGCTCTAAGACCCCGCAGCAGCAAATCTGCAGAGTAAGCAAATTTAAATTGGTCTGATTGGACTTTTCCTAACATATTTCCGTAAACATGACATATTTATTCCCCATTTAAGTAGATAGGTAGGCCTACTTAGATTTGTTGCTACGAGGAAGGTAAATTCCGGTAAGTATTTTTGACTGAATGTTAATGTACCTACAGTAGGTAGCCTATAAAATAAATAAATATGGCCAAATTTGATTTAAATTATATCCACAAACAAGTAAAAAAAGAGACATCAAAATGAAAAAGTAAATCGATCCCGCTGCGAAACAAGAAAGTACCTATCATATATTTGTGTGCGGCTTCAAACACGTGGACATCAGTGACAGATACTGTACAATGATCTGTACAGGGAAGGCATTCGACCACAAAACAAACTTCGCACGCATCCCCAAGAGCGTTTTCTTTTTTTTTAAGAGGTTGGCTGCCTCTTTTAACCTTGCATTATTTGCTCGTCCAAATAGACTAACTGTCCATGAGTGGAACGTACAGTATCCAGCAAAGCAAGGGGTGAGCCGGTACAGTACAACTGGTGAACTGTACTGATAAAATGTTTTTTTGGCAATGACCAGGATCCGAACCCACGACATCGCTGCCTCGGGCTCGAAGTCCGTGACACTACCGACTCACCTGAGCTAGGTTGTTACATCCCCGAGAGCTAGGTCCTTACATCCCCGAAAGCTTGGTCGTTGCCATCTAATGCATTACAATAGCCCGCTACAAGTTGAGTAGCTGAAAAAGCACTAGGCTATGGCAGCCAGCAACCTGCGACACAGATCTTTGGTGACGGGGTAGCTGTGACCTGATAGTGTGAAGGGCTCCATGACACTCAATGCAATTTTACAGATCTAGTGGGGATAAGTGGCTGCAACCAATAAGAAGGCGGTCTAAAAGTTTAGCCTATAACTAACAGTAGGCCCTATAATTTTTCTTTGTACAAATATATATTTTAACCCCTAGATCTGGGGGTCATTTTATTCACCAGTGGCGGGTATATTTTGGCCCTATGTATTGGTACCATTTATTTTGCCACAGAGGATTGTTTGTGAATATAAGTAGGCCTACCTAAATATATTTTCTGTTTCAGTGATAAATGTAGAATATGATGATATAAAAATAATTTTTTCTAGCAATGCATTTAGGCGTAGGTAGTAGCAAAAGGTTTGCAAATTTTCTTAGCCTATGCAAATTAGAAATTTCAAAAGCAACATCACAAGAAAATCACAAATTTTTTTTTACACATTTTATCTAAATGTAAAAGGTTTGTGTGAAATATAATTCCCTACGTAGAAATATCAATGTATTTGAAATAATCATTAAAATAGAATGATAAAAATAGTTATTTGTGCAACAAGTGAGCAATTGACTCACTCGAGAGAAATACTTATTCACGAGCCGTAGGCGAGTGAGGAATGGTTTCTCGAGTGAGGCAATTGCACTTTGCACTCGAGTTGCACATTAGGCTATATTTTTCCTACAGATACCATAAAACAAATAAATTGGTAAAGAAACGTAACATATTTTTACACGGAAATGGACTTTTAATATGACATTTAATGACACAACAGTACAACAGCTGACCAGCTGATTTACAGTCAGTGCTGCCAACGTATTTTGCGCGCATACGACCTTGTCTGCATGTTATGCGCTCACTATTTCATGCCTTCACGTTGCAAATCTGGAGTGAGACAAAGTAATTAGAGTGAGACAATGTTAACATTGTCTCACTGATGAGCGAATTGGCCACTTTGCTTTTTCAAATCAGTGAGAGAACATGTACATTGTTAGGTAACTGTAGGAAAAAGAAATTCTACATAGGTAGGCCCTAGGCCTACATATATTTTCTTTATTGAAAAACTACAGAATTTTTGTTGTCATGTATTAGGAAATAATTGAATGCATCAACAGAAAATAAATAATATGATAACTTACTGCATAGTGGAAAATAAAAGACCTTTGAAAATATAGGCTATAGTTAGGCCTAGCCTATATGTAAGTTAGATGAATTCTAACATTTCTGAGTAATTTAAACGTCGGAATGTAACATTTTGAAGATTTTTTACAAAAACATAATTTTTATGACATTTTAAAACTAAATACAATTTTTACAATAAACCTCATACATTCAGAGGGAATTGTAGGGAATTTATTGTAGTTTCAGAATAGCCTATGTCTAATAATATTGTATAAAATTTAATTATGGATCGGCAAAAAAAGAGTGTTTTTGTAGTCAGGTAAACAAAACTTTCCACCCCCACAATCTATTTTTAACTCTCAAACTATGTTTCTCGCTAACTTACATAAGTTAATAACTTACTCGCTCAATAATGTTAGATGAAAATGAATCCTCAGAATCTCATCTTTTTGATGGTATAAAATTCATTGCGATTAAAACAGTTTACATAATTTTAATAGAAAAACCCGACCCATGTCTTCTTGGTCCATAATCGACCAGCGCCACTAAGGACTCGCGTTTTAGTGGTCTATAATCGACCAGCGCCAGATCTAGGGTTAAATGACACCTGAATACTAAAACAGGCCAACCCTTCTTTACATTATGCAACTTTTTTTAGCACAAGGCTTTTAAGTAGGCCTAAGTTAGGCGTTTAACGTTTGGGAGCATTTATATTTAAGGTATAGGCCTAATGGTTAAATTAATTACATCATCAAATTCACTTTTTAACTTGAAGACTAAGTTATGTAAGCCTAGCTCAATCTAGGAGGGAATAGGCCTGGCACTAGTGATGTGCGATACGGGTCAATGTATCGATACTGCGTATCGATACATATCGGAACGTGGTGTATCGTATCGTATCCTCATGTATCGATTTTTATCTGTATCGGACAAAATATCGTATCATATTGTTTATTTTATAATTTTTTAAATTTAAATATCTCAAATAGCCTATACAAACTGAATAGACTGTAAATACTATGTTACTTACAAGCTTGTAAAGAGGTTTAGTGCTTGTAATGTAATCTTACCTCAGAAAAGCTGTTTCCTTCCTGTGTCTTTTTAAGTTATTTATATCAAACATACATACATAACCTCCAAATTCCGGTAAACCCTCAAAATTGGAAATCATTTTGTTATTGTTTTCCTAGTTTTTACGCAGAGATAATTAACTGAACCAAAAAGTACTAATAATTATAGTGGGTATGCCACTTATGCATTAAATAGTATAATATATAACAAATATATTATGTAATATATGTTAATATATGTATAATATATAAGGGTCCCCACTTCCATTAATGGTGGCCCTAGTTTTGAGGCTATTTGATAAAACATAGCTGAAAATACTTTATCAGTGTTTTTGAAGATGCTAGGGTAAAATAACTTATCAAATTTCGGTACTTTCCTGTTAAAGGGAACATTCATTATTATCGATGATTTCATTCCAATACATCGATATTCTATTTTTGATCCGATAATGAACGAGATGTCAGCTGACAACTACGATAAGTAAATATTGTTCACTATCAACAAACAAGTTAAAAATATTATAATGAAAGTGTTCTAAGCTAACCTTACCTAACCAACCAAACTTGCTGTAAAATCTCCAAATATCGTTTCATATTACTCACATGACTTTTCTGTTATCAAATGAAATTTTGAAATGATACAGCAAACCCAGTAAGTTTGGTTGGTTAGCCTATGTTAGGTTAGTTTAGAACAGTTTTACTTATTTATGTTTTGCCTAAACAAGATCAGTTGTCAATTTGTAATTTAAATGTGTTTGAAGATATTAAAACAGAAGGTAAGAATGGATCGTAAAGGAAAACAAAAATATCGATATATCGAAAGAAATCAGATCGATAATAATGAATGTTCCCTTTAACAGGAAAGTACCCAAATTTCCACTACTACTTTTGAGGGGAGGAAGATGGGAAGACAAATTTCTTACCATAAAAATAAGATTTATATTAATAAATAAACAACGATATTCGATACGATATTGGCTATAGGTGTATCGATACGGGCATATTGATATCGATATTTTGCGGTCCTTGTATCGATACGTATCGATACGCACATCACTACCTGGCACATGACTCATCTAAAAGGCTTTAACCTGGCTTTAATGATGAAGTCTAACATGGTTTTACTATATGCAGGCCTAGGCCTTACCATGGTTTTTTACGATTAAAATGTGCACACACTCACCAATTATAACAAGACAATAGCTCCACGAAAACAGGAACTGGCTATTTACTTGAGGATATTCATTTCTAATCATATAAGGACTTTCACAATAATCCAGCTTTAAATTAAACACTTTGTTGAAGGGGCGAGCTGAAGAACATTCTCTGGAGCAATAATGATCAGAGATTTCCTGTTCCTGTAGACTTAATAACAATAACTGAAGACAATTGAGTTGCTGAAATTTGTTGAAACCAAATGCTAATATTGAAGACATTTGACATTTATACAAATCACAAAATTATAACTAAATATGGAGCATGGAGCTGCATCTATACTCAACATTTGATTTATTGTTGTAGGCCTAAAAACTTCACTAGTTCGGTTATCATATCTGTTAGATTTGTTATTGGTATTTATTTAAAGTATGTAAACTAACTAGGATAAACCTCAAATTTTCAAATTCCCAAATCCCAACAATAACAATAGGCCTAACAAACAATCATTCATTCCAACTCCAACTAAAAAAAATCACATTCAGTCTGCGCTGTCTCCTGGTCCTCCTCCGTCAGTTGCCGTTCTTGTTGCGATTTGCGAATGGGAAAATGGGATGCTCGATGCCACTGAGCTAAAATTATAACTGGAGGTAGCACTGCCATGGCAGAAGTCTGTCAAAAGCGAGTCGCTGATTTTGTTAGGTTGGTATAGCAGTAAGTTTTCTTACCATAGCAATAACATGGAATGGGCACACGGAAGGGACTAAGGCTAAAGGTGTAGTGACGTCATATCTCTAGTGGCTAATGTCTTCTCTTGAGGCGACACGATTACCGTAACGAAACGATGTGATTTCAGCGGCGTTCGTGGCATAGTTGGTAGCGTTTCGGATTGGTGTTCAGGAGGTCCCGGGTTCGAATCCCGCTGGCAGCATTAACTTTTTGTCAACAAATTTTTCATATCAGCAAGTTTGGTTGGTTAGGTTAGGTTATGACAGTTTAATTTTATAATACTAAATTTTAAAATTAATTTTATTTAATTATTAATTAGATTTTTATCTTATATAGTTTTTATATTATCAGCAAGTCTGGTTGGTTAGGTTATGTTATGACAGTTTAATTTAAAAAATTAAAAATTTATTTTATAATTTGAAACAATATTTTATAATTAAAAAGTTAATTTTACAACTAAAAATTTAAAAAAAATTAAATTATTTCAACTTATCAGTTCTAGCGGTGAACGCTGACACCACAAGATATGTTAGCCTTAGTCCCTCCCGTGTGTCCCACCGGCAATAACATGGCTTCTTATAACTAGGTTGGTATAGCAGTGAGTATTTTTGTCATACTTGAATACTTTTAATACTTTAATAATTTTCTTTGAAATGGTGACCATACAAAGTAGGTATTTTAAGCCAAGTATAATAATAGTTATAGCAATAATATGGCTTCTTATGGACACCCACCTCACGCAAACATGGCGGCTGGCGACACGCATCTTTGACATTCAGTGCTACCTCCAGTTAGAATTATAGCTCAGTGCTCGATGCTCGTTTGCTGAGTGCTGTCGCTGTCTACTCCAGCTGGTCCAACCATAGATTAAACATACGAGTATGTTTAATCTATGGCCCAACTCATGGGTCAAGTTAATCCACGTTAATCCCATAACAAGAGGGACGAATCATACTCATATTGATGGACTTATTTCCATTATTATATTCCGCATGTTATACTTCAAATTACCCACGAATAAGAGAACAGAAATGGTGGATCATAAAAATAAACAAATTATGTCACTGGCCCAAAAATAAACACATTTTTTAAAATGTTAGGTTCTGTCAAAAACGTCCAAATCAGGTGTTACCTTTATAGTAGGCATAAAGATTAGGCCAGTGACGTCATTTGCATATGTTTATGGTGGACCGTTTCTGTCCTAATAATTATTATGAAATTATCGGGACTGTGACGGTGTTGTACAACATATAGATTTAGATTTAGTTTTCAATTCTATATGTTTTATTTTCAATCATTTTATGTTTAGAAATTTAAATTAATAATACCAGCTATGTTTTGATAATACCATAGATAATACCTATGCTAATGCTATTAGTGAGCTGATGTCACATGCCTGCCATGTTATCTTATGGGACGTCTGGCGCTAAACAAAACTGCTTAAAAAAATATAAATAAGATTATAAACTTAACAAAAAAAAATTATAAACACGTTGCCAATTCTATTAAGCCGTGGCCTGATAAGGTGGCCATGCGTGTACGTCAACCCGCTACCTCTTTAGTGTGGTGGTGGGTTGTCGGGGTGGCACGTTGTCGCCCAAGTGTGAGTTGGCGGGTTGACGCACGGCCACCTTTAACTACAGGCCACGGCCTTGGCCTTGTAGAGTTGTAGAATTGGCAACGTCACAAGTGGTGTGGTTTAGTGACAGACGTCCCATAAGATAACATGACAGACAGGTGACATCAGATCATCAATTCGCACTTTATCTATATAAATAAAATTGCAGTTTTGTCTGTACATTGCTTAGAATCATGCAGTTTTTGGTTATTTTTACGTTTCATAGCCTAAGAAAGCCGAAACGAGTCTTATCTCAATTTCTGTCTGTATGTCTGTTTGTCCATTCTGTGATTCCGTCTGTAACGCCAAAATGTCATTTTACGCGGCCTACTCCTAGAAAACTAGAGTGCCGATCAAGGTTCTAATCATTTTTCTGTATTTACCGGATTGGTGAGAGTGTCTTTAGCTATAAAAACATGGCCTCGCTTCTTTGAAAACAACGAACCACCAAAAACCCAATTTCGTTCGATTTTTGTCAAAAGTTCTCCCAATCCTTATAATACGTGAAGGCGATTTCTACGAAACACTACTCTTCCGTTAATAATGGACGGATCTTTACAAACGACTTGTCAAAATAAAGTATTTTTTGTGTAGACGCCCCCTTTCAACAATTCCTGTAATAAAGGTCCTCGGGCTTTGCCCCACGGGCCATCAAAGTTGGAGTTTATCCCATAAGATTAACATGGGGGAATCTAAATATTTAATTAGAAACTTTATCCCCACTAATTTGAGAGAACGACTGGGCGTAGAAACTTGGTAGAGGTGTCCAAAGAAAGGTATTGGTCTGTAGATGAGTTATCAAAAGAAAAACGAAGTAAATTCGCTTAGGGCTCTGCCCCAGAAGCACAGACAATATAATACTTTAATTGTTCTGGTTTCCATTGTCTGTGCCAGAAGCCTTTAAAGGTCCCTCGACAGATTTGTTTACGTTTTGGCCATGTGGATAATACTTTTTAATGAAACAGCTGTTAATTTTAAAATTGTATTTTAAACAACACACATTTATTGGGAGTTAGAATTGTCAAAAAGAAGTATTTTCGATGTTATTTTCTGATTTTAAAATTGATTTTCTTCTGTATCATGTCCTTTGCATTATTTGTTGCCAATGAAGCCGCACGACCATATAAATGAGGAGGCCCCTAACAGTTCGTTCAAGAATAAAATCCAACTTCACTTCAAGCATATTCCACTACACCTAACATTCTGTAGAGAGATTATATTGACAACTTTATGTAATTGATAAGGCTGAGACAACTAACTGACATCCCCCATGTCAAGGAATTCCAGCTTTAACAGTAACCCCACAACCAATTTCTCAAAACTGTACTAGAGGGTTATTCATTGGCACAGAAGTACGGCTCCGTGTTTAGCCCGGACGTGTTTGACGCGGACACCCTCAAAATGGTGTTTCACCCGGACGGACGCTTCAGAAATCCCCGCGCCACGGCTGGGTGGGTAATTCGTCGCTTTTCGCCCCCATTATATCGAGTAAGGACGCTCGGTGGCGTTTCCCTCCCAACACAGGGAATTATTACTGTACTATCGTAACCAGAACTGGTGGCCCGTAGCTACAAGTGGTAGAAAATACTGTTTTTACTTTCTCCCCCTATACCATAGTATATGGAGAAAGTATTGTTTTCGTCAAAATTTTCGAGTTTGAGTTTTGAGTGGATATATTCGTTTTGGGTCCCCCTGGACCCAAAAAAGTGGTTTTCGAAGTGATGTCTGTGTGTGTGTGTGTGTGTCTGGATGTGTACAGAGCTAGAGACTACACCTGTGGTCCGATTTCGATGAAATTTGGTATGTAGGTTCTAATCCATGGTATCTCCAGGCGTTTTTTCATTTTTTTGAAATTTTGATTTTTAATGGGGATTTTCCCATAAAAACCCATAAAAAATCGGAAAAATCGAATTTTCTCAAAAATGGCCCAAACGATTTTGATTAAAATTTAGTATGTTGTAGCCCTTTAAATTCTAAACAAAATGGTACAAATCCCATTTCTCTAAAAATTACGGTTCAAAAGTTATGGTAAATTATGTTATTTTCCCATAAAAACCCCATAAAATAACAAAAAATAGGATTTTTAAAAAAGTCAGGTTTTTATTTAACATGGTATGTTATGGTCCTTACGACTTTGATAGTTTTTTTCAATTTTTTTAGATATTTTGATTTTTAATGGGGATTTTCCCAAAAACCCCATAAAATAACGGAAAAATAGGATTTTCCCAAAAACGGCCCGAACGATTTTGATAAACATTTAATTTGTCATAGTCCTTTATGTTCTGAACAAAATGGTACAAATCCCATTTCTGTAAAAATTACGGTTCAAAAGTTATTGTAAATTATGTTATTTTCCCATAAAAACCCCATAAAATAACGGAAAAATCAGATTTTCACAAAAATGGCCCGAAAGATTTTTACAAAAGTTTTGTATGTTATAGTCCTTTAAATTCTGATCAAAATTGTACTAATCCCATTTTCGTACATTTACTCTTACCGCTCTTAGGCCTACACATGATAAAGGTTGTTGACAAACTTATGGGAGAAAGTATGTGTCAGAATGCTGATACCGTTTATTTACTTTCTCCCCCTATACCATAGTATATGGAGAAAGTATTGTTTTCGTCAAAATTTTCGAGTTTGAGTTTTGAGTGGATATATTCGTTTTGGGTCCCCCTGGACCCAAAAAAGTGGTTTTCGAAGTGATGTCTGTGTGTGTGTGTGTATGTGTGTGTGTGTGTGTGTGTGTCTGTGTGTCTGGATGTGTACAGAGCTAGGGACTACACCTGTGGTCCGATTTCGATGAAATTTGGTATGTAGGTTCTAATCCATGGTATCTCCAGGCGTTTTTTTCATTTTTTTGAAATTTTGATTTTTAATGGGGATTTTCCCATAAAAACCCATAAAAAACCGGAAAAATCGAATTTTCTCAAAAATGGCCCGAACGATTTTGATAAAAATGTAGTATGTTGTAGCCCTTTAAATTCTGAACAAAATGGTACAAATTTCATTTCTCTAAAAATTACGGTTCAAAAGTTATGGTAAATTATGTTATTTTCCCATAAAAACCCCGTAAAATAACGAAAAATAGGATTTTAGAATAAAATTCCAGTTTCAATTTAACATAGTATGTTATGGTCCTTAAAGTTTTGATAGTTTTTTTCAATTAAAAAAAATTAATTTTTTATGGGAATTTTCACATAAAACCCCATAAAATAACGGAAAAATGGGATTTTCCCAAAACGGCAAGAACGATTTTGATAAAAATTTGGTATGTTATAGTCCTTTATATTCTAAACAAAATGGTACAAATCCCATTTCTGTAAAAATTACGGTTCAAAAGTTATTGTAAATTATGTTATTTTCCCATAAAAAAACCCATAAAATAACGGAAAAATCGGATTTTCACTAAACTGGCCCAAAACGATTTAAAAAAAAATTTGTATGTAGTCCTTTAAATTCTTAACAAGATTATACTAATCCCAATTCCGTATATTTACTCTCACCGCTTACACAATATGATAAAGGTTGTTGACAAACTTATGGGAGAAAGTATGTGTCAGAATGCTGATACCGTTTATTTATTTATTATTAATTCTATTCGGATTTCAAAAACTAAACGTTATTACTACCTGTATAATTGCAAGCACGGAATCTATAATGTTATAAATTACAATTACAAATATTAGTTTTAGCAATAACTTTTAAATATAACAATAAAATAAAGGACATTGAAAGTAAAGCCTTCAAATTTTAGTATTATATCAAATATTGCACATACTTATTAACAATGAACCTGAGCATATTCCATAACAATTAGAGAATGATTACTTAGGTGGCTATTTTAAAATCAAAATTTAAACTTCAATTTTAGTCCTGCCCCACGGATGGGCAACAAGACTGTTTCATGATTCTTAGCCTGATTTTTTTATACTGCTTTACTGCAGTACCGGATTTTTTAAATTATGACACAACTATATATTAATGACGTAAGCCGATTCTTTGCGTCAAAATTGTGGGCAACTGGGAAGTTGTAGAACGACCGGAGAGGGCTCAAATTAAAGGTCTCAATCCCGTAACGGCGGGAAAAATACCAGTAGTGAAATTCCAAAACTTTTTGATCGTGATTTATCTTTAAGTCAGTATGCAAAATTACATTTGGATTACTCCATTTGCTAGTCAATTCTACAACATACTGTATACTATATAAAACCAGGGTTAAGGTTACCTATATTAATTAAGACTTTTTAGGGTTATAGAATGTTGAAGTAAATTATTTTACTGTGAAACTTTTCAAATTTGTGTATTTTTAACGTTTAACATGAAATAACCACGTTGACTAAATAGTTAACGATTCAAGATGGAAAACTTCTGCTTTGTTTATATTTCAAAACACATGTTCTACTGTAGATTTATTCTACACCTTCTTTGTAAATTAACTAACATTTTAAATTTTCAGATTTATTGTATATATCAATTTTTGTATGTATATAATTGTATATAATAGGGCCTATAATTTTTATTTATTGTATATAATCAATATTTGGCATGAATTGAAATAACCTCAACGGCTACTCTTACAAAATAACCTGGGAATAAAGATGAAATAGGTTTGATCAGGAAATAAATTTCTTAACTACTGTCCGCGAGAGTAAAGAAGTCCCTTGAGCCAGAGCGATACGCAGCTATGTTTGGAGGGTATCGCGCACTATTTGCAGGCGCTAAGCATCTGGGCGCCTCGTCTCGATGTCTGTCTGTAAACAACTGTTGTAAACATAATTAGGCTACTCATATCTTTGTTTTAGTAAGTGGATTATCATCATGTGGTCACGTCATTTGATTCAGCGCAGTCTTGTATGTTTGCGTATTGAGTTCTGTTTTGTTTTGGACGGTCCTTGCAGCTATGGATATAAGAAAACGTGGTGCTACTATACATATAGTGGAGAGAGGGATTTAATTAGACGGGTGATCGAGTGTCGTGAGAATGAATGTAAAGAAAAAAAGTTATTAGTGCCGATAGAAAAGGCATCAGAACGTGCCGCAAACTATTGTAAGTGACAGAGAAGAACTAAGTTTCAGAAAAAACTACTAAACGAATTAGAAAAACCGGCAAACAAACTCCGGATGAAAAACTCTGTACACCCAGAAAAAAAACGCAAGAAGGCTGACCACCATAAAGGACAATTAGATAGTTTTGATAGACGTGTAATCGTAGATGTAATACGCGATTTTTACACGACCAAAAAATTGTACATACATGTAATAGTATATTTCATAACAAGAGTAGAAAGTGAGTCATTACATATTTGAGACCATGTTTGAAGTGCGAGATTTATCGAGCACTTTAAATGGTCGAGAATATGTATAGACCAACTTTCACTTGTGTTTTGAACGTTACTTTTCGGAAAATTGAAACATTTGATAAGGTAATACCAAATATTTGTTTGTTTACGTCGGCAAAATCTAAAATAGATAGTAAACATTCTTTTGCCATAGTAAATAATGTAATGATGGATTTTCGCAGGTGATAAACATGGAACGAAAACAGGTCATTTCACAGTAGTGTAGAAAAAAAAAAAAAAAACTATTACCTGTTTTGAGGGAAAGGATTAATTTTAAATGGATTGAATTGGCACTTTGGCGTCTTTTCAAAGATATGGGGTTAAAGTGGAAGAAATGTGATTCCAAAAGAAAATGTTTGATTGAAAGGCCTGACATTATTAATTGAGAGTTTAAGTATTTGCAAGTGATGAGGAAGCTAAGGGAACAAAATAGGAAAATTTTCTATCTGGACAAAACTTGGATGGACAACAATTTAACGTTCCAGAAATGTTGGCTAAGTGTAGACATCGATGGTGTGTTACCTTATATGAACGCGTCAAACCGTGTGAAGACGGCTCTAATTGGTGCGCGAAACGTTCAAGCGTAACGCCTTCAAACTACGAATAGGCCGGAGCTCAGGGGACTTCTTTACTCTCGCGGACAGTATGTGAGTACTATGACAAGTTCCAATAGGCGGAAAAACAATATTGTTTGGAGGAGATTTGAAACAGGTACTGTCTTTACGTTCCAAGCAAAAAAGGTTAAAATAATATAGCCTAGCAAGTATGGTATAGTAGTAAATGGAGCATCCATATATAACAGTAAAACCTAGATGTAGTTTCTGTTTCTTTGCGTTTTTTAAACAAACCAAAAATATGCATGTAAATGCTGATGAAAAGTATTTTCGTAACTTCAACGCTTTTCACATCGTAAAAATTGCAGAATTGCTGTTTTATTGTAAAATTATCGGATTTGAAATGCATACCTATCGTATAGGCCTATGATGGAATAAAACATATTTTGTCACACAACATATGTTTACAAGATGATTTTTCACATTAAAACTGCAAGAAACTTTGTCTTTATATGTGTAAACTAGCTGATCTGAATTGTACACGGTTTTAACTGACTACTGAATTCCCGTACGTAGGACGGGCTAACACCTCGTAAACTATTATTTTGATTTAGCTGTTTTGGCCAAGAACTAAGCATAACTCAACAAACAACTTCTTTGCCTTTATTTGCCTTTTTATATTTCACGAAGGCAATGTCTAACATTCAAATCAGGGAATCCTTTTTTATGCAAGTTAATCACGAAACTAAATCTACCTTAGTATGACAGTACCGTATTTATTCACAAACAAGTATATGTTTGCTACCTTTAGCAGAGTGATTTACTTATGGAGTGATTCAAATAATCTATTGAAAATAACATCATCAAAAGCAAACAAAAACAAACAACAAACTGTTTCTACACAAAAGTAAGGAAATCAAATCTTTCCTGAAAAAAAAAATGGTTTTTATGATGTGGAAGATTTTCTAAATTTCACAAAACAGAGCCCTTTGGCCTACGATGTTATTTTTTATTATTAGCCTATTAAACCTAACCTATTGACCTGTCCAATTCCTGCCCTGGACTACGGACGGACACTACAAGTATTCAAGAAGCAAGTATTCAAGTCACATTTAAGTCCATTTATACAGTATTAGGCATTTTTTTAGTAAGAAATGACTATTTTATGTCATGTTGGATCAACAGTGGTTTTCAGTTATCCGTGGTCTGTTCAAAAAACAGTTTTACTATTTTTAATGTCAATAAACGGTTCCTCTGATAATCCAACCTTTTTGCTGTTCCGACCATGATCCGGGTCCCGTAGGTGACGGATTAGCGAGGTTCTACTGTGTAGTTTGGTTGTTTATGGATATATTTTGATCAAACTTGGCAAATCTATATCTATATTTTATACCAAGCAATTATTTTTTTACTAAATAAACACAATCTATTACCCACCCTGCTGAAATCCTAAGTACTCATTAAACCTAATGTTATTGGAATAGATTTGATTTAATTGAAAATCAAATCAGGAAAATGTAAATTTGCTTATCCTGCAGGTTTGCTGCGGCGGGGGTGTTTTACATTTCCACGTGATATTGTTAACCTTTTTAGCAATGAACGTAGGTTTTATGAGCATTTTTCTTGGGCAATGTCGTGAAAAAGGATCTCAATTATAGGACCGAATAAAGAACCAACCATGTACAAGATGATGTCATTTATTCAGTATGATTTACATGTTCAGTGGAAGAGCCCTAAACATTCATTCGTAAACTCTGGACACTAATCTACCTTACAAACCTAATCTGATAACTCAAACTACAACTAACTAAAGTATCTTAACAATATTAAAAAAAGGAATTCCATTTTACCAGTGGCTTCCTTATTAGTTCATTACCAGCACTTAAATTCAGGGTACCTCAAAATATAAATTTAAGTCTTTTTATTAAAAATCTCCAATTAAGTCTTTTTATAAAAATCTTCAATTGTTAACAGGTTTTGTGTGTAGGTCCAGTCGCAGTGGATTGTGGGTGGAATGTTTGTGACAACCGAGCTACCAAAGCGACTGATCCTGTGATGTTCCAGTGTGCTTACAACTATACTGTACAAAAATAAAATCCACCTTTCAATGTCTTGTATAAAAGTTTAGATCACTAAAAGATAGTAACAAATTAAGCTATCGCTTGTGAATGGCTCACTTGTAACACAGTACATTCAAACTAATAACATCTCAAAAGATACTTTAAAGACATCACATTTTTTATTTCATGTTATCAATCAAGCACATTTCATGAAGAATTGTTGTAATAGAAGATAAAAATTTAAAAAAGACAGTTATGTAAAAAATATGAATTGATATTCAATTTGATTTTAAATAGGTTACATTTTACAATGTGCTTTAATAATTTTGACTCAAGTTAAGAATTAGTCAAATGTTAAGAAAGAACAGAAAAGAAAACTGTAGGTTTGTTCGAGAAATGTAATTCTGATAAATAAAAGAGTTCTTCATATGACTCAAAGCATTGTTTTATTCTGTTATACAAAATAATGTACAAGTATCATCTTTGATGAATCGATTCGTAAGCTAGATTTGACATTTTGGTTTTAAACAATCATAATTTCTTTGCTTTAGTACTTTAACTTGTTTCAAGATTGGTGAATTACTTACATATACATCATTATGTTATTATGAATATATTGAAAAACAGAAGCTCAAACATGATTAGTAGTGTAACAAACATTTACAGTAAGTATTTTACTTAGGTTATATCATAGACTAAGCAACACAAGTAGACTCCTCATCCCATTGTAAATTTTGAAGCTTGTTTTTCGTGTCTGGTTCATGTACGTCCACAACGATCGCTGGGGTAGAAAAATTTTGTTTCTATTATTATAGGGTTATTTTCATGATTTGTGCTTTACTATTTGGTTATAACAAGGAGACCATTTATTGTTTTTGATTATATAGTTTTATTTGGTCAAATGAGGTTTTAAATGACTGAAATAACAAGAAACAAATTATAAACAAAACACAACCTCTACAGTTGGGCGTACAGAACTATCAATACAACTGGCTTCAGCTGTTCCATGAGGATGACAAATCTACTAAGGGAGTATGTTTTATCTATGGTTATATCCTCAGTAAAATATATGATTTTGTATAACATTTTTTAAATGCCATTGGTATGAAAGGTTATGTTGTTTAACATTATACAATGCTTGTCCTGGGTTGTTTTTGATAGCTGAGCTAAAAAATGCTTTTTGACAGCTGAGCTAAAAAATGCTTTTTGACAGCTGAGCTAAAAAATGCATTTTGATAGCTGAGCTAAAACAAAATGCTTGTCTGTTCAATTTTTGGTTACATATGAGTCTTGGCAGAAAATATAAATATTAAATACCATAGCTAAAATTAGTACAAAATTACAAATAAGTCCTAAACAGTACTATCTGTAAAGAAACAGATTTAATAGTGTGACCCTGTACAATTTCAACCTGATAATATTTTTGATACTCTTTTGTACAATAATCAAAAGGGAGTCACAACATCATTACAAATATAAATCTTTAAAAATTATACAGTGGTACAAATAATACAGCAATAAATTGACACAATAATAAAAGAATCTCAAATATACAATCACTATCGAACATTATTTAAAAAGCCTTCTGTAATAATAATAATAAAAAGAAGCTTGTAATCTATCTAAAAAAATAAAAGTTACCTAGACAAAATGAGCTATTTACAATGACTCTGTAATAATCAGTTTATTACAATCGTAAATTGAATCTCGTTTATTTTCACGCACTGTACATAATCAGTGTCCACACTTTTGAGTCAATGAGAATCTCGAGTGACGAACAAATAAACAGGGCAAGACACATTCACGACATCTATATTATCTAAAGTCCTATGTTCATCTTACAATTCATTGGCAACTCTTCGTTTCTGGCAATATCAGGTTCCAAGAGAAGATGAAAAAAAAACTTTGTTCAAAGTCATCTCTCATGCTCTCTTTTAGCATTACAAACTGTATTTTTAAACGTTGTCTAACAAAAACTTTCAGTAAAAAATGTGAAAATGTTTTGTTGTGAAATTGACAGAAATGAAGATGATTTACCTATGATTGATACAGGGGGAGTTTCTTTAACTTTGTACTGAGAGAAACCAAAACACTGTCATCTGTAGAGGGTTAATGCACTTCCGATGACTCGACAGAGGGCTTAACGGCGTGGTGGTTGGAGGGGTCAGCCGTAGTTAGGGACTGAAACACAGATTGATATTAAAAAAATTGTTTAATTAGGTACATGGTACCACCTTCTCTGTAATAGATAGTGATGTGTCAAAACCAAATCTCAAAACCATAAAAACTTAAGAAAAGTTTTGGTTTCGAGATTCGATAGCCTATGCAAGTTTTTAGAATCAAAAGTTTTGAAATTGAAAATTTTGGGACTTTTTATTTTTGAAACTGCTGAGATTTTTTGTGTCATTATTATTGTTTATACAACTGTTTACATACAAGCTGGTAGCAATGGAGCAAACATATCTCCATTAACACTAACACTAATGAAACAAGTAAATTGTATTCTGAACTGCAAAAAGCATTTAAAATACTGGAACAACTTCATATAAATATTTATTAGACACAAAGAAATTTGTATTGACCACTAAATGTTCTAATTAATCTAATATCATTATAATGTCATAAAATCTGATAATTAATTTAATATCAGGAGTTAAATTTATTTTAATGTTAAAAAAAATCACTAGTAATAATAGACACTAAACTGGTAATGAAAACTCCAGTACAACAAACAGGTCTTAGATATTTTTCTATTCATCCTTTCAGGCCAATCAGAAAAAAATCATGAGTAACTCCAGGTAGTTCCTGTCAATACTAAAAATTCATACAAAAATTTCCAATGTGTTTTTGCGTCAACTCCTGCAATGCTGTTTAGCTCTAACGAAGCTCGCTATTTCAGTTATCAGTTATAAGCATAATCAGTTAAAAGAACAAAATTTATGATAACTACTGTAATATTGCCTGACACAAATTTGCAATTTTAAAATATTGCTCTGATTAAATAATCAGAAAATTACAAACAAATTGTCAAACCTAACCAGCAACTTACGAATAACTCATTAAAAAATAGGGACCTTTTCTGTTAAATTACTACCACCAGTAAAATGTGGTTAGATTATGTTAGGTTTTTCTAACTCTATACTAACCTAACCTAACCAAAGTTAAATTCACTACCACTTCTAATACTAATAAATAGTCTGCTCTAAATAGTGGTAGTGAATTAACGGAAAAGATCCAAAAACAGTGATGTGTTGGATACCAAAATCTATTGATTCTCCATACCAATACCTGAAATACCAATTCTTGATACTGACACCACTTCAAAATGTTATCACATTTTTTTTATGGACTACTATACCAACCTATGTCTTAATGTACATAAAGAATGTAATTTTGAAATTATAGGTTATTTTTCAAGGAGAAAAAAAAAATAAAGGAACAACTTAATGTAGTGATGACAAATCCTCATTGAATAAATACCATATCAAAGGTAAATGAAGACATTAAAACTAATTTCAAAACTTTATCATAACAAGAGGTAATATTGTGATTATCTTCTACTGTTAGCGGTACAATTCCGATAATTGGTCGCATTTGTATAATAAACATCGCAATTGTCTTCCGCGATTGCAAAAAAATACTAATCATCTGCCCCAGTTGTGTGGACTTCATCATCTCCCGTGATTGTGGCAAAATTCTGACTACGTAATTATCGTCTCCTGCAATTGAGGTAAAATTGAGATAACTTGTCGCGGTAGTGTTCACAATATTGTTATTGGCTCCCGTCACCACGAGACATGTCAACGATGGCGCAGTGACCGCGAGACACATTGATGATATTGCCGTGACAAAAATAGTCATGAAAAAGATCTTTTACCAGAGGCGTTGGACGAACTAATGGCCTTGTTAACTGAAGTCTTACACCAAAACTATTTTAAGTTCAACGATAAATATTATGTTCAGAACGAGGGACTGGCAATGGGATCCCCATTATCGGGTATTATGGCTGATATATATTTAAATTACATCGAGAACAACAACATTTTCTGCGATAAAAATGTTTACAAAAATAAAATCAGCATGTACTTCAGATATGTGGATGACACCATTGTTTTATTCGATGGCAACAATAGGCAATTAAACCTCCTACTCAACTATCTGAATAACATCGCACCCAAATTAAAGTTTACTTAAGAAACAGAGTCAAACAATAGAATAAATTTCCTAGACCTCACGAAGAATAACAGCAAATTTGATTATAGTATTTACAGAAAACCAACCACTTCAGCTCAAACAATTCACTCCACTTCTTACCATCCGTTTTCACAAAAAATAGCAGCCTACAACTCCATGATCCACAGAATGTTAACTGTTCCATTAAGCCCCGATAATTATAACAAAGAATGCTCATTAATAAAGTATATCGCATCAGCCAATGGGTACAAACACGATTTGGTAGACAGATTAATTAGCAAATATAAGAACAAAAGAAAACAAGATATTAAACCAGATAAGAGTGAGAGAAAATATGTTTGCGTGGAGTACAGCCACTCTGTAGAAAACAGCCTTAAAAAAGAACTAAATAGGCAAGGCATCGACTTAACGTTCCGAACCACCAACCGCACTAGGAACATCTTGCATAATAAAGGGTCTAGCAAGAAATTAAATAACACCGGTGTTTACCAGATCAGTTGCCCAGATTGCCCATGCAAATATATAGGCCAGACGGGTCGGGCATTTGAAACCCGCTACAGAGAACATAGGCCAACTCCAAAAATGGTCAAACAAAAATCAGCCTTCGCACAACACCTGGTTGATTCAAATCACTCAATGAGTAGCATTGACGATGGTTTAAAAATTCTACATGTCTGTGGGAAAGGTAGCAAACTTGACACCTTGGAGGAGTTCGAGATTTATAAAATTTATAATGACGAACAGTGTAAGGACCACATCCTTAACGAAAAATTACAGTTCCAGTCTCACTCGATTTTTAATACAATATTAAACTCAGGAACAGCTGATCGAAGATCTGATAACATCAGTGATAACAGTAGAGGAGACGACGTGACGTGACCTCCAGTCTGCTACCAGCCCCGCGCCGCGCCGGACCAAATCAGTATTATGATAGCGCTATCTAAATGTCAATTGCTACTTTAAAGGGGGGGGCACTTGTGTAATCTACAAGGGGTCTGATAGGTATGCCTTCTTTGTGTACCTTGGGAAGTCCACGTAAAGCGGGTGCAGAAGGATTCATGGCGCGTAATGATTTAATTTCACTATCGGTGAACAGCACTTTACTCCCATTTATGAGTTTCTTAATTCTTTTTTGGAATGACGTGGTTGGATCTTTGTTGATTTCAATGATGTTATTGTTGGTAATGAAATCAGTAACTTTATTGTTATAATCATTGGCGTACATTATTACCGTGGTGTTTCCCTTATCAGCTTTACATAGAACAGCGTTGTTGTCAGATAGTTTGGATTTAATACTTTTTAATATATTTAAATCTTGTTTCTGAGACGGGAGTAAAGTAGTGCAATTTTTGTTCTTATATTTATTGTTTAGTCTACGTGAGATTATCATCCTAGCTTCATTCCTACATTCTTCGTTTCCAATAGATTTTATGGCAATTTCAGCATTTATTAATTCAGAAAATATTTTTTTCTTACCCTGTGTGGGAAAGTTATGTTTTAGGCCTTTGTCAAGCAGCGCCATTTCATCACTGTCAAATGTGATCTCTGTTTGGTTTACCGTATTAGGAAAGAATTCAAAGTCGAATGCGACAGCGGTCTGCTTATCGCGTTGTTCATTCACTAACCTAGTGAGCTTTTTCCGTAATGTAGACTTCTTCTCCCTCATCACTCTAGAGACGCTTGTTTCGACATGGCGGAATAACATCGCACCCAAATTAAAGTTTACTTTAGAAACAGAGTCAAACAATAGAATAAATTTCCTAGACCTCACAGTCACGAAGAATAACAGCAAATTTGATTATAGTATTTACAGAAAACCAACCACTTCAACTCAAACAATTCACTCCACTTCTTACCATCCGTTTTCACAAAAAATAGCAGCCTACAACTCCATGATTCACAGAATGTTAACTGTTCCATTAAGCCCCGATAATTATAACAAAGAATGCTCATTAATAAAGTATATCGCATCAGCCAATGGGTACAAACACGATTTGGTAGACAGATTAATTAGCAAATATAAGAACAAAAGAAAACAAGATATTAAACCAGATAAGAGTGAGAGAAAATATGTTTGCAAGGAGTACAGCCACTCTGTAGAAAACAGCCTTAAAAAAGAACTAAATAGGCAAGGCATCGACTTAACGTTCCGAACCACCAACCGCACTAGGAACATCTTGCATAATAAAGGGTCTAGCAAGAAATTAAATAACACCGGTGTTTACCAGATCAGTTGCCCAGATTGCCCATGCAAATATATAGGCCAGACGGGTCGGGCATTTGAAACCCGCTACAGAGAACATAGGCCAACTCCAAAAATGGTCAAACAAAAATCAGCCTTCGCACAACACCTGGTTGATTCAAATCACTCAATGAGTAGCATTGACGATGGTTTAAAAATTCTACATGTCTGTGGGAAAGGTAGCAAACTTGACACCTTGGAGGAGTTCGAGATTTATAAAATTTATAATGACGAACAGTGTAAGGACCACATCCTTAACGAAAAATTACAGTTCCAGTCTCACTCGATTTTTAATACAATATTAAACTCAGGAACAGCTGATCGAAGATCTGATAACATCAGTGATAACAGTAGAGGAGACGACGTGACGTGACCTCCAGTCTGCTACCAGCCCCGCGCCGCGCCGGACCAAATCAGTATTATGATAGAGCTATCTAAATGTCAATTGTATATTCGTACCGTATTAATGTCTTCTGTGTTCGTGTTCGTGTTTTAAATGTGTTTTTGACGAGTTGCAAGCTTTGATAATGTTGTCTTCGCAACGAAACATGTAAGCTGTTGAGCAATACCATTTTTGGACTATTTGACTGAGGTATGTAAAAAACCTATTATTGTCTTAACAATATAGTCCAGGGGCCGAAAACATGAATTTTGATGACAATTTAAAAATTAACAGCTGTTTCATTAAAAAGTACAATCCACATGGCCAAAATGTAAACAAATCTGCCGAGGGATCTTTAAAGGC